TGCATGCAAACGAAGTTCGCGCCTATATTTATTTGGCAAAATATGTTGTGCATGATGACAATTCTGCCGAATTGAGCAAAAATAATCGAGAGAATTAGAATTTGACAATGACAGATTTGAAATTCTGTCTTTGTGAGCACCGAGAATAGAAAAATATTATTTTACGAAATAATTTATAATACACCTCCTGATTATTGGCAAGTTCGTCAGATGGCAAAGCAATCAAAACACTCTTCAGGAAATCAGCCTACACAGAAAGTTGTTTTTTGTATACTTAAATTCATTACCAAGTAACTCGGAGCTACCGATACTTCCAAGTTTGCACGCTGCGTCTGCAACGTAAGATTAAAATCACTTGAAGTTCGAATAGTCTAAGTATGGTCGATAAGCAAGAAAAAAATAAAATTAAATAATGCATACAATTACTGCATGTAGAAGAATTGAAACGTGCAAGTGTGATAATTGGAAGCTTACGTTAGCCATAGAATACAATAAACAAAATTCATATCACAACGCGCAGAACTGTCTTCCAACCTTACCTACAAGGCTACGACACACATATGATCTATACTACACGTACGATCTCTTGCATGGGTCATGTAACAATGGCTTACAGTGGCACCTTTGCAAACTAATATTTTCTATAAGAACAGTATTGGAAATTACGTCTTGATTGAAATAATTCAATTAATAACAAAAATGCTAAAATGTCGAAAAAAATATACTAAACTTTAATTAGTATATATCAAAAGATAGTAAATTTTACCGCTTGCTTCTTTGAAAAAATCCACAAGAGGAGATCCAATAAAAGTATTACCGGTACACTTGCAGTCTCGTAAGTTTAGCTAAAATAATGGAAGTCTAAGTTCCATGTGAGGAACAATTACCTGAATATGTAACCCGCCCCGTGATTAGATATAATTTCCCTTTAAATGACGTAACTACAACACTGTTAATGAAACATGTTAACATCTAAAAGAATAATTTTTTTACAATCAACTGCATTGATCGTTCATGCGTAGATAGTAATCACAGATATTTGCGAGCTTCTGTATACGAATACATTTATATATAGTAATAAATTGAACACAGCTGAGTGGACCTTCGCCGTTGCCAAGTCATAGTGAGCGGGTTACCCTCGCATAAACCGGAGGGAAACACTCTTTCATCACAAAACTTGGGATATTTCCCTCTGCAATGCTTGGCTGAGGGCCTCATTATTCAAATTGAGCTTTTGGCCCTAAACTTGGAACAGCCATAGATGATTACCACGCTGCCATGTTTCTCCCGTAGCATCATGCCAACAGCAACGTTTCTGAACACATGTCGACGTCGTCTACGTCTCCGAGTGAAACGTTTCATTCTCGACAAACGCAGTTGTTCTCGTGCGTTTATGGAAGTTTTGTCCTTTACGTATCAATGACGTTAATTCACATTTGATAAATTCACACCTATTATCCACCGAAGTCCTGAGAAATTCATGCCAACACCGCGCTAAAATATAAATTTTACTAAGCAAACTCGTGTTTAAAACTGTATACCTACTGAGCCTAATTAGCTTGTGTACTAATCTTCAAAAGGAATGTATATATATATGGATCAAGCCTCAGAATTTTCCGCACATGATAAGCCGAACACGGAAAAGTTCGTTCTCGATTTCCTGTGATGCACTTCTAGATTTCGTTCCATATCTTATGCATAACTGTGCTGCCCGTAGTTAAACTATACGAGGTTGGCCGACGAGGATTTCAGTCTTTCAGTTCAGCTTTCTTGTTACGTCACGGAGATCGAGAAACGTAAACAATCCCGTCATTCCAATGACGGATTGGTTGACTGCATGGTTTGATCGCACTTCGGTGAATAATTAATGCCTGTGACGTCACTGAGTTCAGTGACGTCACAGGCGAACAACAAACTACATCCGCAAAAATGAGCTTCTCACGTGTCAACCTTATACTAGTTCAAACAGGGTGCTGCGAGCAAAGTAGTCATTATGTCTATCATACATAAGATATGGTCCAGTATAAGTGACTGGTCTATTCATAAGACGGGAAGAAGAAGGGTAACTATGGAGCCTCATTGGCAAAGATGACCGTGAAATTAATGAAAACTTGCATCAGTTTCCACCTTGACCGACTGGTACAAGTACAACAGGTTAACGTGGTAATGGCGATAATGAAGACACAGCGAACTCCGTCTAGTCAGACGGCGTCCTACTGTACTGTCAAATCACCAATTTTTATAATCAGATCTATTTAAATTACCTCTTCTACTCAATATTTAAGCCAATATCCAACGGTATGACAATGCTGGTATCCATGATACATTACTGGTCTACTTATAGGAGTCAAAAACGAACTTGAGGATGCGTCTAAAAAAAGTCTCTGCTTTTATACTATGTCAGACACTTTAGTCTTAGGCTAAGATCGCCACGACGCCATGATATAATGCAACAGTTCCTAATCTCGCCGTTTTTCATAACTACGCTGTAATAGTCAGACTATGAGATAGTGAAATACAGATTTAGGCGTGTTTAGGCAGTGAAAAAATACTTTAAAGCTTTCTGAATGTAAATGGAAAATTTATGAATTAGATTTGGTTAAAAATAGAAATAGGTTTTGTGGGGCGGCAACTATAGTTGGTGACTTAAGGCCGGTCAACACGCTCAGTTTTACACAACGATTTGTCTGCACCGTTCTCCGATTCAATTTGTGCTCAGTTTCAATGATTTTGACGACAATGGCGGACCTTCGGTAATGTTCTCCGGACGAAAATTTATTGTTCTGGACGAAAGTTTTTCTTGTTTTCAAATTGCGAGTAAAATCCAAGGACTATAGTAACAGGGACAAAAAAGTGGAGACATGCGAGAGCTTAGTAGAAAAATTCAAAGGAATCGATGGAAGCGCAAACAGAGAATCAGCAGTAAAAAAAATTATTTGAGGAGTATTTACCGTAAACAATTGGGAAAAAATTAATAAATCGATTACATTTAGGGCTGGAGAGATAACATCTATACAAGCCATCTCTCCGGTATTTTTATTCCTCGCATTTCCGAAATGATACAATCTTTGTTTTTAACAAGGCACAATGCCAAAATTAACCAAAATACTGCCTCCTCCATGACGAGATCGCGCAAAACTGAGCAAACTACACAAATAAGTCGGCACCGTGTGGACGCTCTAAAAATTGCAACGATTTCATTCCGACTTGAAACTGCGCAGACAAATCGTTGTGTAAAACTGAGCATGCATGTGGACCGGCCTTAATGCCGTTAATCCCGTAATGGCATTGAAGGTAACAGTTACAGCACCAACAAATATTTAACTAAATCATCTCAACAATTGGAACCATGTTATTATTTACTGTATAGCAAATTCTTACAGTAAAAATATCACATGTGTACACTTTTAACATTCAATACATGAGAACATGTTAACTATTTTTAAGCAAACTACCGGCATTCCACATGGCCTACTTACAAATTCTCCTCGATTGTTGAGCAGATCCCACTTCACAAAAGCTTCGATGGCATGTTTGTACATAGCAACTGAAATCACTAGTAATTCACTATTTGCACTTCCAACTCAAATGAACACGGTCCGAATTTTCGCACCAGCCCCGGCAACGTCACTTGATGAAATGGCTGGCAGAGAACAAGACTAAAAAATTGAGTCACGCGTGAAACGGAAATAATTTTAGTGAAAATTTACTAATAATTTCTTCCGTACTATTTATTAGGCAAGTTCCTCTAAGCTTTAGGTAGGTTATCAATATCGGTTACTTTTTTAAACAAAATTAATGGAATACAAGCTTTCAAATTGAAAAATGTCAAATTTGAAGCCTAGAACAAAACGATTTAGACATTTTTTCTTCAAATTCGCCATGAGGCTAACGCATATCGCACTCAATACACTGAATACCGTTCAATTAAATTTCGTACAATAATTTTTAGAAATTTTCATTTTGACGTCGTTCAGCCTCAAATGGTTTTAATTTCCATTCTATTCTAATTCATAAAGAACTCAGTGACCTGAAACCATCCTCATATTCAACAATGTTGAATGTACGTAAGAAATTGTTCTCTGTCAATGCTCTCTAGTCAAAAATACGCTAAAAAGATTGATTGTTAGCATCAAAAGAAGGTCTAATGGTATAATTCATAAATTAAACGATCATTGTACCATTCGACCATTACCAATAAATGATCACTTTGGTTAATGTGTTATTTTTGAGATGGTTGATAAAGTATTGAATTTAACGAAGTATGGTAAAATTCATGTCGTGAATACGTGGATATAAGTTCAGAATGCCCATGCATTCGTTCCGTATAACTAACACCACTCAACTTATCCGGCCTCCCACTATGTGACTATGAGGTCATTCGGGCTGAACTTCTTTCCTGACGACATCGACTCTACATTAATTATCCTGCTGAATGGTCTTGGTGAGACGTTCGATTACGTTTCAATGATTATAATATAAGCTCCAAATCAATAATTGATAAAATATTCTTGATGATAAAAAGAACTTGCATGTAAGAGGATCGATTGCATCGCTTTAGCCTTCTGCTGCCGCGCGTTTAATTCATGCTCATAAAGTCGCTGCAGTTACACTTCCACTTTGTGGGACACTCACACCATGGGTCGAACGAATGAAAAAATGCAAACGTTTTTTCTTCTTTTCTAGCTAAACGGAAGAAGCTTAGAATCGAGTCGTCGGACGCCATATATATTGTCCTTATTTACACACGTAATTCAAGTACTACGTGGTGGGTACGCACTTGAAATGAAGCAGTGTATTTAACTTTCAATGCTTGTGATATTGGATCGTCGGAAGCTCCATCAGCTGAAAAGAAATTATGCACGAAAATTTTAGACTGCATTCGGTTTAGTAAAAAAACAGTCATTGCATTGTAAACGATGACACGCTATGTAGGAGTTTTGCGTGAGATTACAATACTTCCTATGTCAAGAAATTATTTTTAAGAAAATGAAAGAGAATATTAGCAGAAAATGTATTTAAAATAATATTCACAACAATGACATTCGCAGACAAGCTAAAATGAGCTTGCATGAAAGCAAATTCATTCATACCCATCACATAATTAGCTACAAGGCAAATTGAGGCTAGGCCAGTTTACTTCACTTCCATGACCGCAATGTGGGTAAGAACATGTTGTTGAAAAAATTGGATTGTTCAAATGAGCTGCGTAATTGAGATTTCTCCAACATTTCATAACTCGAGTCACATAAGAGACAGCATCTTACAATTTAAGGAAAAGATCCACACGAAATTCTGCGGCGTTCTTCTACTGTTAGGTTGTGAACAGATAACATAAAATATTCGAGATGTATCACAAACTAACGTCCAAATAATAGGGATCATATCCGGGTATGTACATTTCGAATCGTAAAGCAAAGATTCGGGCATCGTGCATTAGCGGGCGTTCAGTTGAACAAAATTGAACGTGTCATTTCTACCTGTAGATGTAGACCCAAGCAACGGGTTCATTCCAACCACAAACGTGGGAAAACATTATCTACAGTTGCATTATATATTTTTCCCTGTCATAACGGTTTATAAAGCGTTTTATTGCCAAACCGGTGAAGAATTTCGACTTCGATCTAAAACCTGATATCCTATTCTTATAACAACAATTCTTGACACTCACCAGCCTAGAAGAACCAAGTATGATGTAAGATTCTTTTCACTGAATGACATCAGCATCTAGCTCATTAGAGGCAGCTGCTTGAAGGGTTCTACATTACATTTAACGACGAAATTAACGCAAAGATTCGTGACGAGGCACATAAAAACGCTCTAGGTTAGTTAGATCGGCATTTACAGAATAACACGGCTATTCATTTAGGTCCACTTTGAAATACCAAACCAAATGAACGTGAGTAATTATACTCTACTCAATTTTACTTTTCGTGCCGAGAAAACGGATTATTGAAGGAAATAATTGAAGTAAGCATTCACCTTTCACACTGCGACAAGAGATTCTTGAAGTTAACAAGGCAAGAATAAAATGACACATTCACCCTTCACACTGCAGAAACTTCGTAATAAAAAAGGTACAATTGACTTAGTAGATCTTGAGTCGCATCGACGACTCAACAACAAGTCGTCTGAACGCTTGCGTGACTTCCACGACAATAGCATCTTCTTCAGCAAACTTGTTGACGTGACTTGCCGCCCTGTTGTCCGAGCTCTGTGCCGCCTCAGCCTTCAGTTCAGTTTCCCCGAGTTTCTCCTGTTTGTTCTCTGCACCAAATGCAGGTAAACCGTCGCTGGATGCTCCTGCTCCATCTACACCATCGGACGCGCACGCGCCTGAACACAAGATAATTTAGAAGAATTATTTCCTAGTAGTGCAATTCTATTCGTCGAAGCCGCAGGCACCTGAACACAATTTACAACACAATTGATGAGAAACCAATTTACCGTACATGAATTATTTTCTGTTAAATACTAAGCTACTCTGAATTCCGGCAAAAAGTGGTACGTATCCAATCAGTTATTTACTGGGAAATTCGAATCTACTGATCGAAGCCGCAAAACGCCGCAACACGAGGCAATTTATAATTACTTCCTGTTGAATTCGACGCTACTATATTAAATCCAGCAAGTACTCATTTCTAGTTTTCATGCACGATTAAGTCGATTATTCCCTAGAGTGAAGTTAAACATTAATAACTACGTCAAGGGGACAGAGAGATAATTCAAGGCGCACTTGAACAACGAGAGAGATTAACTTAGGTAACATTGAGGTTAAATCCAGAGTACGTTGTTGTATTATTGAAATAATAAAACATCCCAAGTTGCGAATTCCGTTCGGTCTCAATTTTGTTACTCGTTTTATCTTGTACTATTGGGGGAAATTAAATTTGGACAACGGTGTCCGTCTAACCTCTTGCACAGTCACTCAAGTTCCAGACCTTCACGAATAGCGTTGAGAAGTGTCAATATATCAATTAACATAATTGGTGAACTGCGTAGTGACGCACATGTGAGACATTCACGTTGCCGAAGTGAAGCACAAATCGTAATTGAATTTATTTCTCTCAATACCGCACCATAGAGCAGAGGTGCAGGTGCCGGCAGGATAGCAGCGTGCGCGCGCGTGAGTCTGGCGCCCGTACAGAGCAGCTGCGTCACGTCCTGCAGGAGGCAGGGGAACACCCGCCCCAGCGTCACCAGGGGCACCAGCGAGCCTCTCACCAGCAGCACTCGGTCCTCACACGCCAGCACTGCAACACACGCAGCGTCAGAGTGTTGCAACACACGCAGCATTAGACTGTGGACTCTGTGGTGCACAGCACTGCAACACACGCAGCATTAGAGTGTGGTGCACAGCACTGCAACACACGCAGCATTAGAGTGTGGTGCACAGCACTGCAACACACACTGCGGTACAAAATAGGGCAGAAGTAACGCAATTTTTTTCACCAAGCTAACCAATTTAACAAGCCACAATGAGCATATTACCCCGTTCAAAATTTTACCCCCAGTTCACGAACCCACTAAAAAAGATTCTATTTGATTGTACAAACTTAATGAAAAAGGCACCTCTGTACAAGTTCCTTTCACAAACAAATAATATTTCACCTCCGATGTGTGTTGTAACTGGGACCAGACATCTGGGACCAGACATCGGTCACATGTCATGGTCACACGACTTCTGGGACCAGACATCGAGTTTCATTTTACAAGCAAATAATATATCACCTCCGATGAGTGTTGTGACGACATTGACAGCAAGCCTGGCGATGCTAAGGGTGGACGGCATGGCGTTCTGTAGAGCAAGTTGGGCGGTGAGATGCAGCGTGAAGAGCTGCAGCTGCACGCTGCATCGCTGCCGGTGTTGCTGCTGTGGCAGCTGTAGCAGTTCAGGAATCCAGTTGAGGCCAACAGCCACGTGCATAGATGGCACGCCTTGCACTACAGGACCAATTAGCTCACGTGGGTAGCCCTGGAAAGTGAAGGTAATTGTGAGATGCGATGTCAGACATATACAGTGCGCAGTCAAAGAACCGTAGTAACAAAACTCGCTCAAGTAAATGTATCGGTTGAAGTAGGCATCGGCCGATTTCATGTCCGTAACTGCGGGGTTTAGCTTGAAATGCCGTCAGTGATTGCCTGCTGAATTACGAACCATTTTTGATAGTACGGCCCACAAGATGGATGAGTGCATGCCAAACCCCCTGCACTACAAGATCAAGCAGCTCACGCAGATAGCCCAAGAAATTGTCACGTGATGATTCCGAGGCCTAAATAAATAATTGTACGTTTTAACTAAACAGGAAACGCATGAGGATAACTTTATGGTGAAAAATCGTACATTAACTCAAATGTAAAACAATGCCAAGAAAACAACATTTTCATTAAAATATGCTTTTGCCTAGACATTGCTTGCCATTACATATTGAGACTGGATGTGCGAAATATGTAATGTGCAGTGCAGCTCAATTGCTGATGAACTTGCGCGACTACGTAGCTCTTTTATTCAATTCTTTTTTTATTAAATTGAGCTTTCTTTCCGTGAGTTAAGTGACCGAATTGCTGATCTGATGAGCAGTTGAAAAACAGTGCTAAATGTATGCCATTAATATGGCTAGTATCTGTTATTTGTATCAAAAACTAACATTGGCTCTTTAGCCCAACGTGTGACAGTAATGCCTGGATCAACAAGGCCCTCGTCGCATGCTTGTAGCCAAGGCAGATGATTTTTGTTTGCGATTCCGGAGGCTTCAGGCTCCCAAATGGGACCGTATTTTCGAAGTATATTTAGATTAAAGATGAAAATCAAAGATACCATCGTATTTTACGTACCTCAATGAGGAGCATAAGTCATGGCAAGTCATTCATTGCGTGTGCATTAGGATGATATAGAGTACTTGCTACCATGCATTTGTCAGGACATGTGCAGGACTGAGGTACTGGGAAGTGTACGAGCTTAGCAAGTGTCGTGTCTTAGATAAAGGCTTGATGTAAGACTATGTTACCTGGAAGTGTACGAGCTTGGCCAGTGTCGTGTCTTTGATAAAGGCTTGATGCAGATAACTGAAGACCACGGACTGAACCTCCTGCAGCGCCAGCAACGACCCAGGACTGCTAGGCCCGTCCCCCTGGAAAATAAACCTCGTGGTTACCTCTACGGCTACACACACACATACACACATCACACACCATCCCACATACCTCATACGAAACAAAAAACCCTCTACAAATCCTCTGCTATAGAAAGTTAGTTTCTTTAAGATGTTTGTACGTTATAAGATTGGTACTGTAGGTTTATGTCATTTAGAGAAAATTCATCTTAACAAAATTTCGTTCCAAAATAAAATTTACATCAAACTTAGAAACAGCAGGTAAATAGGGCTTCTTTGTTAAATGAGAGTTCAAAAGATTCCATCTTTTTGAAGACCGAAAAAACTGACTATACATTATTAATAAAACCCATTCTCTGGTCTTAATCAAACTTGTCGAAATTACCAGAAAACACTATACGTTGCAATTGCAATCGTTTTGCTAAGTATATTCACTAGTAGACCCATTTTGTTTTGTTAAGTATATAGGTTTACGAGTAGAGCCATTTATGTAAACAATTTAGTTACCTGGCTGGCGTCAGGAAGAATAGACTCGAGCAGGATCTGGACGGCGGCGCTCTCCTGCGTGAGGATGAGGGCGTTGCGTAGCTTGTCGCGCTCCTCTTCAAAGGGCGCGACCAGGGCGAGTGATCCCCCTGCTGCAGCTGCTGCTGCCGCTTCTGCAGCTGCAGCAGCTGTGCTCAGCTGATGTTGTGCCAGGAACGTGCGGGATGACAGGAGGTAAACTCGCAACACATACTCCACCAGCTGCAGTAGCGGCGCCCGTCTGTCATAACACACATCAATTTTACAGCAAAAATATATATATATATATAACTCAGTGCTCTTTGCAGTGAGTGACAGGGAGAGCATTTTCTCGTCGACGAAAACGTGAAGTCACGGACGGACAGACAGACAGACGGACGGACATGACGAGCACAACAGTGAATTTATTCCATAAATGAGAAAATGCGCTAAAAACAATGAAATTTAAGTATATTTTCATTGGAAACGATTTGGAAACGCTTCTTTTCACTTCAAAGTTCAAGGATACAAAGATAACCAATTCGTAAAACTACAGTTTATAACGTAGCTACTAAAACTAAATTTGACGTTTAGAATTTAAAGTAACGGGAACATTCCTTCAATCAATTTCGAACGTTTATCAACAATACAGGCTTTTTTAACACGTTGACTACGTATTGGTACATATGCGTACCAAAAAATGTTTTTCTCCAGGAGGTAGTGGTACATAATTCAGGTTGCCTAAAATCGGCCAAATCCGAGAACAAAAAAGGCCAAAAAAGGCCGATAATTCAATATATATTTTCCTAAAATTGGCCAAATCCGAGAACAAAAAAGGCCAAAAAAGGCCGATAATTCAATATGTACTAGTTTATTTGTAGGTTCCGCTATAAAAATTCCATTTATTTTCTTTTAACAGTGTTTAAAATTTAACTAGGAAGTACCCCTATCATAAATTTTAGCCGGCCAACGCAATTGAGAAAAACGAAATCACGGAATTTGTCCGGAAAAAATGACCGTCTGGCAACCCTGCTTAAAAAAAGTACAAAAAATGAAATAATAGTACAAGATGAAGCAATCGTAGTCAACGTGTTAAAACATGGTTTCAGTTTTGAAAAATTCATAGATTCCTTGATCTTCAAGTCGGAAGCAGCCGGAATGGTATACTTAAATTTTACAATCACTTTCTGCCACCGAGACGCCGCAATGTTGTGCGTGTATATATGCCCCCGGCTGAATGAGGCGGCTACGCAAGATTTCCACTACGATAAATCCTACCTATAGGCTCTGACCGCCCGCACGAAACTCTTACATCAGGGACCGTTCAACCAAAAATAGTTACAAGATCGTAACTCCGTCAGTCAACGACTGATGGCTTTCCGAGCTAAACCCACCAATCACAGTCAAGAAATCGGCAGTTAAGTGTACTATGTACACGTAACTAACCTAGCGTAACACGTTACGCTATGTGTACTGATGCCGCTATGTGTACTTAGGCTGCAACATGTATAAAGCGAGTTTCAATCGTACGGCCAAAGGACTCGGAAATAAATACCCATTTGCAAAACATAATAACGGACCTGTAGACCCTAGGATCACATCGCAGGACATTGAGAGGGTCTAGGACCAGGTCGTCTTCAGTGAGCGGTCGACGTCGACCGCCAGGAGGATGCGGGACAGCGCGCAGCCCTTCCACCGTCATGGCCCACAGCCTTCTGGGGTACATGGCGTTGAGTCGCCGCCATACCAACACGTAGTGATCTGTACATAAATATTTATACATAAATACATAATTTATAGCATTTATTGGGCCGTAGGTCTGTCGCCGATTCTTAACTTCGTAGAACATAACCAGCATGTTGTCTCAAACACGCAACGCACTGCTACAATTCTGCTGTGCTTAACCGCCCGGCCTCCTCGCCGATTCTGACCAGAAACTGGCGCACAGAGCTGGGATCAAACCCGCGCCTATCTGCTCCACTCCTGGTATTCTGAACTGTAACCATAGATAATGTTATTTCCAGTGTAAATAATATTATTACTAATATAAAACTTACTTGTGTCATGTTGTCACAGTAGGGACATTTGAGGAAAAATAGGTGGCACAAATATGTGATGAAATAGGGACCTAAGTTACACTAGGTACCTAGAGCGGGCGTAGCACTGATACGCAGGTTTGTGGGGTAAAACTGCGTCAGGATGAAATACATGAGGGCAAAACTGCGTCGTTATTTGGAAAAAGTCTCGTTCATTTTTCAGAGTATACCTTATTATTGATCAAGGATAATAGCATTCCTTTTTAATGGAAATTTGCTTTTATTACGTCCTTTAAGTATTTGACTCACCTAAAGGATGAGCAGCAAAGATCGATACTGAATGTACAAGTAACTATCAATTACTTTATTTTTCCTCTTTTCTGCCTTACCATGGTCAATATAACTTCCGATAACAGCATTTCTCAGTGAAATTCAGGAAAAGTTAATTTATGCAATTAATGCATTGGTAAAATTCTGCAAAATCCACATTATAGCCGAGCTCAGTAACAACTACTCGAGTAATACCGAGTCATTGTTAATCACTATTGTTAATAGTGATTGCTAATAATAATGTTAATGGTAATCAATAATTAATATATCGGGCACCAAGCACGGTACGCGGTAGGACTCAATTACCAACTCATGACCCACCGAGCACGGTGCGTGGCACGTCCTCCTCCAGCAGGTAATGCAAGGACGCGGTGAGGGGCGCGGCAGCGACGCTCCACAGGCGCTGTGACGGCAACTGAAGGCAGCGCTGCAGCAGCACCAGCAGCAGCCCTGGTGAACTGCGGCACTCGCTCATGGCTGCACGTGGACAATACCTTAGACTTATTGCCTCACATGCGACACAAATTAATAGAACTAATCATTAATAAAACTTATCGCCTCACACGCGACACAAATTAATATAACTAGACATTAATAGAATTTATTGCCTTACATGCGACAAATAACAAAACTAATAATTAATAAAATAATTGCCTCACACGCGACACGAGGTGAAATAGTAGCTATAAGCGCAGCACAATTCAATATACGATATTAGAGTGACCTCAAAATTAGCAGACAATATTGCATCGCGTTATAAACGTTATATGGACTACGTTATTTGCGAGAGCCTGAGAGGTAGATTTTGCAGCAAAAAAATCATTATTTTATACAGCCCTCTGAAGGGATCCAATGCTTTAACTTATTGCTTCTCTATGTACACTGCAATAAGACCCACCTCTCTGCAGGGAGCTCGGTGTGAGGGGCGTACGAGGGGAAAGCAGCGAGGGTGGCGCGACTGGTGGCTTGTAGAGCCAGTCCTCCACCAGACACAGCTGAGGGTAGTGGTGAGCCAGCAGTCTGATCAGAGCGCTGTACAAACCTGCAAAACAAACAAAATAACTCATTCTGAAGACAATTAGAACGGCCATTTTGCTAACAATTAAAACCATTCGTTTTGAAACAATTAGAACCGTCTATTTTGATAACAATTAAAAAACCACTTGTTTGAAACAATTAGAACCGTCCATTTTATAACAATTTAAACCACTTGTTTGAAACAATTAGAACAAGCCATTTTGATAACAATTAAAGCCATTCATTTTGAAACAATTAGAACCAGCCATTTAGATAACAATTAAAGCCACTCGCCTTGTAACAATTAGAACCGGCCATTTACATAACAATTGAAGCCAATAATTAAAACTATTAGTTTTCAAACAATTAGAATCAGACATTTTGATGAGAATTAAAACCACTAGTTTCGAAACAATTAAAACTAACCATTCTTGAAACAATTCAAACAAGTCAATCATGTTGAGTAATTAAATTCCGAGATTACCCAAGGAAACATCAAAATAAATATCGCTTTCTTTGTCAAGTAATCACAATGTAAGGACCAGAAACTGCAATAATTCTTAACTCACAAACGGCAGACTGAAAATGGGTACCCACTAGAAAAATCTTATGAAATCAAATATCACCTCAGAGTAGATTAAATATTGCTAACTTATTCTATTTACATATTCAATATGACCGGTAAATTTTCTTCAATGAAATCAATCTGTTAACTTTTATTTTAAAATGTGAAAAAGTTATTTTTGATCATTACAGTGATTATAGGTATATCCTGTTCATTAGCGTATCAAAAAAATCTCTATGATCTCTATTATATTGACATGACAGATACTAATTTTTCATTGATTTTATTGGTGATGATTCCACACACATCACAGCTCCTTTGAGGGCGACGGAAACGAACAGGTTTTATAACTTGATATTAATTTATTTTAACGCGTTGACTCCGAAGTGTTACATATGCGTACCACGAAATGTATTTCTTCAGGACGTAGTGATACATAATTCAGGTTGCCTAAAAGCGGCCAAATCCGAGAACAAAAAAGGCCAAAAAAGGCCGATAACTCAATATATACTAGTTTATTTGTAGGTTCTGCTATAAAAATTGCATTTATTTTCTTTTTGCAGTATTCAAAATTTAATTAGGAAGTACCCCTATCATAAATTTTAGCCGGCCAACGAAATTGAGGAAAACTAAATCACGGAATTTGTCCGGAAAAAACGACCGTCTGGCAACCCTGTTTAAAAACAGTACAAAAAATGAAAAAATAGTACAAGATGAAGCAATCGGAGTCAAAGTGTTAATATACTTGATTACTTGTTTTTTTTTTTGCATCCATGAACATCTATCGGAACACGTATGCTTCAACTTATCCTATTGAGGTCAAATAATTGCTCCGAAAATTTTCATGGAAACAAAAGTTAAGTTTTTACACGAACTAGAATGAAATTTCCTTGCTACCTATCAAATTTTACAATAAATTGACTAGTATTATAATATTATTTTATTCTAATAAAATAGAATTGTTATATTAACTAGTAATAATGAATAATTAACTAGTAATAATGAATAATTAACTAGTAATAATGAATAATTAACTAGTAATAATGAATAATTAACTAGTAATAATGAATAATTAACTAGTCATAATGAATAATTAACTAGTAATAATGAAGACGCCGTACCGCCATAAAGAGCTTGGTCGCGTTGAGCCCTGGCGAGGAGGTAGCGGATGGGCAGCTGCGAGAAGAGCGTAGCAGAGTAAGTAACTTGCTGCTGTGGGGCTGTGAGTCGCAGGTCCTCGTACAGCAGCAAGTAGTAAAGTAGTAGCAGTTGAGATGTCAGTACACAGCGCACCTCTACTTTCCTGCAGAAAATAATAGATATAATTTTGTGATCATTTAACATTTGTAATCATTGCTGTGCAAGACACCGTACTATTGTACTCTAATTCCAATGGGATGACAGATGTCAGGGCAGGTATATCGAGAATACATCCAAAGTTTTATTACTGAGGAATGTGGCATCAATCTCGACGAATAATAACGGGTGCTTCTTGTGGCATTAGATGCCAGAATCCAGACCGAATATATCTTGCTCCTTCAACAGCACGCCGAAAAATATTCATGACAAACTGTACTGTAAACGATCAATGAAGCTGATAACTATCATTGTACATTGTACAATAAACATTGTACACTAAACGATCAATGAATCTGATAACAAATTGTACACTAAACGATCAACGAAGCTGGTAACAAATTGTACTGTAAACGATCAACGAAGCAGGTAACAAATTGTACTGTAAACGATCAACGAAGCAGGTAACAAATTGTACTGTAAAACATCCATGAAGCTAAAACTGTCCAAATGTCTCAATTGAGCGTTATGTAACAAGTAGAGGTGACGCTGAAGAGCTCACCCGACTGCCTCGTTGTTGCTGGTGTTCTGATCGTCGACCTCCATGGCCTCCACGACGCCTCTTGCAGCAACATCAGCGAGCCTGCCGTCGGGGGCGCCGCCACCCTGGCGCAGGTACAGACGATGTCCGCCGGTCTGACGCAGACGCGGTCTTGTGCTCCTGCTGCTCGTGGCGCGCTGTTACCGAGCATACATGGAAATTAATACAGAGATATTTATGAGCGGCAGTTGTTGATCACATATTAAACAAGATATTCATTATTGTTCATGAAAAAGAATAAAAATAATCAACGAGGGTATAATTAGACAGGATAATAATAGCCAAGGGTCGATAGTCACTATGCGCAGTTCAATTTACTACAATAAGACACAATGTAAAATTGAATTGTTCACATAAACCTAACGGCCCAGAAAAATACATCAAAATAACACGGATTCCTTTCATTAATGGACTGCAAATAACAATTGCAGAGCTTCACCTTCTGAGTCTCGCTGCTGAAGGAGGAGTAGGTACTTATAACAATTCTGAGTCTCAATTGTTATACTGAGTCTGAGTATAACAATTCTGAGTCACCTTCTGAGTCTCGCTGCTGAAGGAGGAGTACTCAAAGACGGCCAGAATCTCCGTCTCGCTGATGGGGTCGTTGGTGAGGGCGGTTGGATGACCAGGGGCGGGCCCGTCGGTGCCCAGCACGGACCGCACGTAGACCTCCACCAGCGAGGGCAGCACGGGATGCATGGGCGCTCGGCTGTTACATATTTGCCTGCAAAATAGTGGGGAAAAATAAACTAATTAAACCATCTCTCTTCAAGAAAAAAGTAACAAAAGAAATAGTATAAAGCTACAAATTTCAAATTAAAACAAAATATTACAAGTTATCATCATTATTATTATCAATTAAAAAATATTTCTTTTAATAGAAATGAAAGTAAATTAAATAAATGTTTGAATGAGTATGACAGCATATAAGTAGTACATGCCAATGATGGAAAAGTTTTAGGTTTATTTTTTTTTATTCAGCTAGCTGACAGCAATGGTAGTTCCCATCATATATACGGTACCGGTATACTCTACAATACCACGAGTCCATACAATATGCATCAAGAAATTAGAGTTTAAATTTTGACATCTAGATTCAGCCGCTATTTAATTTAATACAAGACTCACCGGTAGATCCAGTTCTTGATGTTGACTCTGTGTCGCGTGAACATGCGGCTCTTGAGGAGGTGGTAGACGCAGTGTACGGGCAGGAAGCCTGGCAAGGCAGCATTCAGGCCGCGAGTAACTGACACCTTGGACGCTATCAACGTTACCACCTGAAATAAACAAATATAGTATTAAAATCAACCGAAAATACTGAAATTCAAAAGGAGATTAATGATGTCATCACCTGGAATCAACTAAGATAATGTTGAATCAACAATATATATTGAAATTAAAAAAGGGGAGTGAAGACTCGCTGACTTAGTAAAGACTCGCTGACTTAGTAAAGACTCGCTGACTTAGTAAAGACTCGCTGACTTAGTAAAGACTCATTGACTCTGTGGAGACCAGCCAATCCAGTACAAAATTAATAAACACCAACCGACTCAGTAAAGAATTAGTAAAGACTAAGCAACTCAGTAAAGAATTAGTAAATACCGTCAAACGAGGTAAAAAAAACGGTTTTGAGCGTTTTTTGTTAATAACTTCTCACCATGAAACATTTCAGAAAAATTTTAGGTTCATTTTATAGCTCTTTGCAAGGGCTATCGAATGGCATCTTCAAAAAATTCCATATGCTATTCGTAAGGTGCCTGACGCAAAATAAAATCGTCCCGATTTACCCCTGGGAACGGGGTAATCCGGGACACTTGCAATAAAAGTTCATTTTAAAATGTTAGAAGAAATGTTTATCCATAACAGATAGTAAAAATGTTGAAGTTTACGCCACTATTTTTAGTTTTACAATATTTTGATTAGTATAGCTGCTACAACATTTCTACAAACTGTGGGACGCGCGTCTAGATTTACCCCGCCCCTCCCTTTTTACCCCGTTTGACGGTACTAACCGACTCAGTAAAGAATTAGTAAAGACTAAGCAACTCAGTGAAGAATTAGTAAATACTAACCGACTCAGTAAAGAATTAGTAAAGACTAAGCGACTAGGTGAAGACTCACTGACTCAGTGAAGGCTCATTAACTCAATAGAGACTCACCGACCCAGTAAAAATTCCACAACTCAGTGAAGACTCATTAACTCCTTAAAGACTCACTGAAGACTCATTAGCTCAGTAAAGACTCACGGACTCACTGAACACTCATTAGCTCAGTAAAGACTCACAGACTCACTGAACACTCATTAGCTCAGTAAAGACTCACAGACTCACTGAAGACTCATTAGCTCAGCAAAGACTCACAGACTCACTGAAGACTCATTAACTCAGCAAAGACTCACAGACTCACTGAAGACTCATTAACTCAGGCAAGACTCACGGACTCAGTAAAGACTCATTGACTCAGTGAAGACTCATTGACTCAGTGAAGACTCACAGACTCAGTAAAGACTCATTGACTCAGTGAAGACTCATTGACTCAGTGAAGACTCATAGACTCAGCAAAGACTCACAGACTCAGTAAAGACTCATTGACTCAGCAAAGACTCACAGGCTCAGTAAAGACTCACAGACTCAGTGAAGACTCATTGACTCAGCAAAGACTCACAGACTCAGTGAAGACTCATTGACTCAGCAAAGACTCACAGACTCAGTAAAAGACTCACAGACTCAGTAAAGACTCACAGACTCAGTAAAGACTCACAGACTCAGTGAAGACTCACAGACTCAGTAAAGACTCACAGACTCAGTGAAGACTCATTGTAGTAGTAGTAGTAGTAGTAGTAAAAGATTTACTAGCGCTTCAGATAGCGAATCTATTTCGCGCCGGAGGTGAGGTCTTCAGCTACGTCAAAGATGTTTGGTCTCTTCCGTCTCCAAGGCTTATAGCCTGATCCATTTTAGGCGCAGGGGCTGGGCGGTAGATTCCCTGCTCATGGAGCGAGGGTNAAGACTCACAGACTCAGTGAAGACTCATTGACTCAGTAAAAGACTCACAGACTCAGCAAAGACTCACAGACTCAGTAAAGACTCACAGACTCAGTGAAGACTCATTAGCTCAGTGAAGACTCATTAGCTCAGTAAAGACTCACAGACTCAGTGAAGACTCATTGACTCAGTGAAGACTCATTGACTCAGTGAAGACTCACAGACTCAGTGAAGACTCACAGACTCAGTAAAGACTCACAGACTCAGTGAAGACTCACAGACTCAGTGAAGACCTCATGCGTGACGATGTGTCTGATGCGGGCAAGGTTGGCAGTCTTGGTGGTGACGCGCATGTTGAGCGCGGCGCTCACCAGCTCCAGGATGGCGCTCAGCTGCCCGACGTGGAAATGAATGGCAACCAGCAGCAGCAGCGCGCCAAAGCTGGACGACCATTCACCTAGAGCTCTGAAAAATACGTCATTAATTAGCGTCTCATCGCACTTTTTATGCAGGAAGCTCTCGAAAATGGTTCACTTAATATTGTTTTATCACAGATTTTATGCCAAAAGCTCAGAAAATAGCTCATTCAACATTGTTTTATCAGACATGGTGTACAAAATTTTCATGAACGAAGAACTACCATGACGCAACCATTTATAATTTACAGGAGAGTATGCATTTGAACTAACACACAATCTTCCCGCAGCCTACGTTGACAGTCAAGAATAAATGAAGTTCAAATTAAAAAAATATCAACCGCATTCAAATGAAAAATTAACATGAACTGTATGTGAACTTAAAAATTGGTACCGATATTTGCCGAAGCAGGAACCGATACTGCTAGATTAGATGAAACGATAACAGAAAAAAATTATGAACAATTTTTCTTCAGTCAATATTATAAAACTAATTTATTGACAAAATTAGTTCAGAAACATGCTGAAATGTGTCAATCAATACCTTTCAACAAGTCATTTATTTATGGTTATTTCAAAAACCAAAATCATAACGATTACTAGAATTTATACCAAACAGAAAATTCATTAGTGCTAACTCCGAGAAAAGTTAGAACCAATGTAAAAACAAGCCACTTGATCCAGTAAATCAACATCAACTACTCATACATTATAGTTTTTTAGAATGCCAAAATCATCAACAGAATTCGTCACGACCAGAAAATGCATCGTATTTCGATTACCAATAAAAAAGATGATTAAAATTAGTCAAGACTATAATATAGATCAATGCTAACCCCGAGAAATGTTTTTCTTCCTGAACAAGTCACTTGATCAATTCAATCAACATCAACTACTCATAAATTCAGGTCATTTCTATTACCAATACTGTAAAGAACATCGTAATTTGTCCCGACAACAATATGCATCGGTGCTAACCCCGAGAAATGTTTTTCCTCCTTAACAAGCCACTTGATCCATTAAATCAACCTCAACTACTCATAAATTCAAGTCATTTCTATTACCAATACTGAAACAACCATCATAATTTGTCCCGACAACAATATGCATCGGTGCTAACCCCGAGAAATGTTTTTCCTCCTTAACAAGCCACTTGATCCATTCAATCAACCTCAACTACTCCTAAATTCAAGTCATTTCTGTTACAAATACTAAAACGACCATCATAATTTGTCCCGACAACAAAATGTTTCGGTGCTAACCCCGAGAAATGTTTTTCTTCCTGGACAAGTTACTTGATCCATTCAATCAATATCAACTACTCATAAATTCAAGTCATTTCTATTACCAATACTGAAACGACCATCATAATTTGTCCCGACAACAATATGCATCGGTGCTAACCCCGAGAAATGTTTTTCCTCCTTAACAAGCCACTTGATCCACTCTGAGGCGCGACGCTCGTTCTCGGCAGCGCTGAGGAGCTGAGGACAGGCGATCAGGACACACAGTCCCGTGCTCACGAAACGCACGCCCGCGGCGCTCACTGGCGGCTGGCATGTCAGCAGCTGCAGCAGCGGCGTCACCTCCTTCTCTTCGTGCAGTCTGGCGACCATTAAAGTTCTTATAGTAAATATATATTAGTAAGACATTCAAACAACGTTACATTTTCTCTTCGTGCAAAGTGGAAGATGAATTTAGGGAATATGAGGAAGAATTTAGGGAATAGGAGGAATAATTTAGGGAATTTTTCGTATTTTTTTGCAATGTTTAGGGAGTAATAGTTAGGGAGTAATGTTTACGGAATAATAACATTCAAATAACGGGATAACTTCTTCTTGCTCAGTTTGAGACTGAATGGAATACTTTAAGATATAATATTAAAATATTCATACAATGTTTCATCTTCTCTTTGTGCAGAGTGTCGAATAAATAGATGCATTTAGGCAAAAATGGTAAACCATTCATACAACATTAATCTATTCTATGTGATCACCGTGACAAACTTGATACCTGGTAAGTTCTTGAAGGCAGCGTGGAGTCTGATAAAATAATATATATTGCGATAACATTCACCCACTCAAGTCAGGCAAGTTCTTGAAGTTGCAGCAGAGTTTGATGAAACAATAAAAGACAGAAAAAAATATAACTCAGTACTCACTGCAGTGAGTGACAGAGAGCGCATTTTCTCGTCGACGAAAACTTTAGGTCACGGACGGACAGACAGACAGACAGACATAGCGAGCACAATAGTGCATTTTTTCCATAAATGCGAAAATGCGCTAAAAATACACAATAAAACATGAAGATAAGTGTCCCTCACTTGAGACCAGGCAAGTTCTTGAGTGCGGTGTAGAGTCTGAGGAGGGCGGTGGCTGGGATGACTTGAGAGGCAGGCAGGAGATGCGTGGTGCGGAACAGCAGCAGCGCGCACAGCCGCTCGCTCAGCTCACAGCGCAGGGAAGATAGTCCGCATGGCTCGTCCCAGGCACGCTATCACAATATAATTTATTAATTAGTGCTCCACTACCATGTTATGCATATTTTATAAATTTAATTCATATAATATTATGATTTAGCTGGAAATGAGTTACCTATGCATAATCTTTCATAGGGGCATGAATTACTAAAATGTCAGGATTCAAGATGAAGGGATTCGCAACAACGTGTTTCTTAAATTGAATGCATTATTTAACCTGGCAACGCCATGGTTAACCTGCTAGTAATTGATAAAAGTTCTTCTGTATAACTTGCTACTCTGTATCACTAACCTTATGAGCAGACTTGACGTATGCAGCAAACCAGGCTCGCTGGTGCTGATCTGGAGAAAGCAGGAGCCCTGACACGAAGCTCACAACGTCTCCTACGTCAGTGCCTTCACAGCACAACGAACCATCTGAGGGACAATGAGAGGTTCACTATACATTTGATAATCTAGCAAAAAATAAATAAATTAAAAATAGTGAAAATAATTTGAAGAAACAAGAATGATCCGCCTGAGGAGCACTTAGAAGTATGAACCCTTAGATTGGTAACCCTACACTTAGATTGGTTCCTAGATTGATTGATTGATAGACATTGAGGTTGGTAGGTACCCCTAAGGATTACATAGGATCACCTATCAAAATAACAATATCAGAACTATGGTATTGTTCTGAAACCAATAAAAAGGAATTTGTTTTCAAGCATCATGAAGGAGGAATGCCAAAAAAAAATTGGGTCAATTGCAAGCATTTGGGGGCTAGCTGGCCCACAGGGTAGTATTACCGGTACTGGCCTGTTAACACCTCCAATATCGAAGAAGATTTGTTTAAAGCATGTGGCATACTTGATACACAACATCCACAGAGCTGTTGTAGTAAACTAGTAAAGTTATGGTATGGTTTTGGTAATACTATAAGGCTAGCAAAAAATGTGAGAAAAAAACATTGCATAAATTTTGAACATTTATTTAATTTTGAACATTTCATATTAAATAATACGGAATTGCTACAACAAATTTTGTATAACTCTCCACACTATTGCTTTGTACAAGCTGCATCATTGGACCATGTCGACCCCATTATAATATTTGAAATGCCCATAGAACTTGTATGGTCTTTGTTAGATGCATTCATTTGAAGTGTTATAGATATGACACGTTTTCAGGGGAATTTAAATGTCTAATTTATAGCTTAACTTGAAAATAATTTAGATGAAGGTTTACATACCACTGTTGGGGGAGGAGAATGCGTTTTTAGCAGCATCAAGAGTCAGGTATAAAGCCAAACCTGGCATTCTGTACAGCTCCACCTGAAAATAAGGTACACCTATAAAAATTGATATCAAATCATCAACAGACTACCTACGTATGTATATAGGTAAAAATAAAACTGATATTTTACCTAGCGTGATCAAAAATAAGGTAGGTACCACAAGGAAACTTTGAATTGAGGAAGCATGGTGTAAAAAATAAACAACTGAAAACATTGTACCAAAATCTAGGTCTATTCCAAAAATGTGATCGGAACAAAGGTACAAAAATTATAAATAACTGGAACCAGTAATAGGTAAGACTTCAATCACTTCATTGCTGAAAATTTTTGAAAGTGTTATTAAATATCTGCAGGAGTTCTGAGACTCCATTTTTTCAGTTGGCAGAACTAGAAAGGAACTTACACAAAGATGCCTTGCATACAGAGCCATGCTGGGGTTCATGAGACATAGAGTTCTGACTGTGCGCTGCCTCATCAGGCCACCCTCTGTGTCCTCATCTTGAGCCTCTCCATTAATAATGATGCTGCTTAAAACTGCAAGAAATTATTCATTGAGGATAGATAAGAACAATTCTATAATGACTAAGCTGTTTAAGATGATTAAGAATTCCAAGCAGCAGTTGCTAGGTATGTAAAAGTAAATGACATTGTATATCATGAGATTTCAAGTCTTACAAAAAAAAAACACTTGGGATGATCAAGCTTATACCCCTTTTGGAACCCTATCTATTTATATTGTTTATATTTACCTTCTTTAAAGTAGTCAGGCTGGTTTGCCACAATTCTGGCAATAAGGTGAGGAGCATTACTAAAATGCAGCAGAGTTTCTGCAAGCTCTCCAGGACTGAGCAGGCCTGGAAGTTCTGACACTCCAATGCTCAAGATATCTGCAACTTCTTCAAAGTAGCATTGATTGTCAAACAGCTCGCACTCCTTGTGATACCATTCATGAGCTGGCCGAGGCTCTTTCAACTGAAAACAAGATGAATGCATCAAAAATTGCATCTTTTATCATTCATATAAATTTAATAATTGCTGCATTTCTGGCCTTTTTTCATATATAAAAGTGTCAAAGGTTCTATCAGAGATCTTCAGTTTTCATTCCCCTGTGCATTTGAACTACGTAGCATTTGATGTACCATTCTTGAATGCTTCAAGACACATAAATTTTTCACAATGATGTAATGCTTATTATTTCCATCCTTGAATTTTTTGCTCATCCAGAATTAAGAAGAAAAAATTCCATCCCTACTTAAAGCCAATTTTTGTTTGCAAAGTATAGGTATACAATATTCAAGTGATGGAATATTTCAAAGAGGAGGAAACCAATCTAAGTACCAGAAAATGGGACTTCTTATAACAAATGATGCAGGAGAGTTAATGTTTCAATCTCCTGGAGACTACTGTCTATATTATTTGGTATACCTACAATAGTATGACAATTTTTTTGCAAAGCATTAATCAACATACCAAGCATTTACTGATAAAAGTAAAACTATTTTATCATCTGCCTCAAATGGCTTGAAGTGTATCCAAAAGCTCATTTAATTGTGTGGCCATTTGATTGCAGAATTATGGGGCAAAATAACAAACACTACGGTGGTATATTATAATGAAAAATGATATGAGAGAGGTATGCAAGTGCATATTATATACTAAGAAACCATTACTTGATAATGTACACTTCTCACCTGTGCCATTACATAGATAATTTCAGAAAGGAGTAGGCGTAGTCTCTTGAGTGGTTCAGAACACTCAAACTCTAAGGCTAGGCCATTGATGAGATTTTGAACAAGAATACTGCCTTCCTGAGCACCTCCAGAATTTAGCCCTCCAGCTTTTTGCCTGAAAAAGTTAGTTTAACTATAAAAAAATTCAAGTATGATTTTTCATATGCACTCTTTTCTACAGAAATTGGCATCTGTATGAAATTAAAATCCAGTTGTGAAGAATTTCACTCAACAAAAAAATGTATTCTTATTTTAAGAAAAACATTATTTCAACAAATATTTTTCATTTTCAATAATATAATATTAACTATTAGGCAGAACTTTTCTAGCCCTTGCTTAATTTCTATCTAAAAACACGAATTATGCATTTTAACTATAATTTTTTATTAAGATATCTTTTAAAACAATATTGGATGGAAGCACTGATTCCAAACTACAAGAATCAATGAATAATGAAATATTTTTGTGTCAAGGATATATAATTTTACACTCTGCAGAGTCTGGCAATTCTGTTGCCAAGTTACCAAATTTTTAGGTCCAAAGTGTTGCTAGTATTGTTGACAATTTGTCCCCAAAACTTCAAAATTTCATGCCAATAATACATGGAAAGAGGTATGTATATTTAAGGAGAAATGAGTTGGCAGGAGCCAAAATCTTCAGAAGAAAAAGATTTTGACGCTGGTCTTGCTAAAGATCTTTAGAAATTTGCTCATTTTCTGCATCCTGGAGTATTAATTTTTGTGAATTTTAAGCAAATATGCCATGTTTTTTTAATTATTACAATAGAAATTATACAAGCACAATAGGCATAAAAAAAGAGCATTCTCATTAACAGGTAGCTTATAGCACATTCTTAGTTTAATTCAAATAAATTAGGCAAAGGTTATAAAAAACGGGTGAAATTGACCATGAGTAGGGGTATTTTTATCTTTTTAAACAGGTGGCTTCTGCCCAATATTTCAAAATGAGATGCAATGATAAATACTAATAGGTGGGATGTAGGATCAAAAACTTATTTATTTTGCCAATCAAATTTCCACTTACCGTAATTGTTGTTCCTTCTTGAAATCAGATTCTAGAGTGGGGAAATCAACTGATAGCAGCGCCACCATCGCATTAACAGTTTCAATGCCAGATAATATTTTAAGGATCGCTTTTCTTGCAGCCGTTGATTCCATGGTATTCTCGATTGGAGCAATGAGACTCATACGCACTAAACATGGCAAAATGGGCCTTATTTCTTCTTCTTTGCACTGTGATAAAGCAACCATGTCAGCCCTTTCAAGTGCTTTAAATACATGAGGCAGAACTGGAGCCGATAGATGTATTTTTTTATGTTTCCCCATACTGAGAATCTGTGAACAGAACAGTGGATACACAAGCAACACCAACCATGGGTGCGCAGCCGTAGACCAGCAAATTAACACTCAAATCAGCCCTGGAGCCAACATCAACCATCTAAATGCTACAGATATTGTCATCCTGGCACCTAAGCAGCTGTAGTCAATTGACCTATCCTCACCACACGAACTTTAAACCAACACTGCTTCAGCACACAAGCTGCTACTCCACATAATTAACGGGCAATACTTTGTTCTCCAATGCTTTATAACCCATATCATCACTTCTTAATTTCTTACACATACTGTTATCCTAAGTGTCCGCTGACCACACTGCATTGCCGCAAATGTGAACTGTACCAAATGGTAAGTCGGTAATGCATCATCACCTTACTTACTCCGCAAGACGTTAACCCCGCGTCACTGTTTCCCTGCCTTACTATCCCCCAGCATCTTCTTCCCCCCACATTTACCCTGACTCTCCACCATTATCGCATGGCTAACTGGAGGCTTATCTCGCAGACCTTTGATGCTTATCCGAATTAGGTTAGGGTTAGGTTAGGTTAGGTTCCATGGTCAGGAAGGTGCAGCGTGTATGCCGGAGGTTTGTTTTGGGATGTACGCCAGTACGCCAGGGAAGAAAGTTGCCAATATGCTTGCTAAAAACAGAAATGTAACCCTCCCCAATGCTGCATGATCGACACAGGCACACGTACTTTACGATTGATGCCTGGCGATCATCACAAACACACGTGCTTTACGATCTATATAGCCGATGCTCAATGATCAACACTGATGCGTGCTCTTTGCGATCAAAGTGGCCAATGCCTAATGATCGACACAAGCGCGCGCGATTTACGATCGTTTTAGCCGATGCCTAATGATCGACACAAGCGCGCGCGATTTACGATCGTTTTAGCCGATGCCCAATGATCAATACTGATGCGCGCTCTTTGCGATCAAAGTGGAAGATGAGTAATGATCGATACAAGCACGCGCGATTTACGATCGGTTTAGCCGATGCCCAATGATCAATACTGATGCGCGCTCTTTGCGATCAAAGTGGAAGATGCCTAATGATCGACACAAGCGCACGCGATTTACGATCGGTTTAGCCAATGCCCAATGATCAACACAGGAGCACGCTCTCTGCGATCAAAAAGGCCAGTGCCTAATGATCAACACAAGCGCACGCGATTTACGATCGTTTTAGCCGATGCCCAATGATCAATACTGATGCGCGCTCTCTGCGATCAAAGTGGCCGATGTCCAATGATCGACACAAGCGCACGCGATTTACGGTCGGTTTAGCCGATGCCCAATGATCAACACTGATGCGCGCTCTCTGCGATCAAAGTGGCCGATGAAGACTGAATTCACTGAAAATTATATTTATTAGGTGTCGATATGATAAGTATTAAGTTTGGCTCACAATGAATCACCGGTTACTTTAGAGAACGCAATTTAACACACGTGCTTTCGCCGTGAACGCAACTGACTTTCTCGTCTACTTATAGGACTCACAAATGAACTTGAAAGAGAGTCTAAAAAACTCTCTGCTTTGCCACTATGACCACAGGTATGTCTGTCACCGGTCAAAGCTGACGAAATACTCCCGTTCACAACAAGCGTTTGTTTTCAACTGTTGTTTTTCCGAAAATCGGAGCATGACTGCACCATCACATGCGGATTTCAAATTGATCAGAGATTTTCATGCAGGTTGCATATTCCATTGTTGAACCTAAATGCATATTCCACGGTTCATAGATGGCATATTCTACCGGTTAATGATAATTTTTTTTTTCATCATAACTATTTATTGCCAGTATTTAAATGATGAGTCATATATAATATTAAATTAAGAGAAAAAAATCAGAATTAAAAATTTTTATTCTTTATACCATGAATGTATCAGAACGATTTCATATCCCTTGTGACGTCTCGGACAAATTCACGGCCGGACCCGCGGCCGGTCTCCAAATTCAGTGAGCATGGAATATCTCCCAAAATATTGAACCTAGCTCGATGAAACTTGGTACACATAATCGAAATTTAAAAAATTATCCCGAGCTAAACATCGCCGTTAGGCTCTAAGGATTATGTGTATCAAGTTTCGTCGAGCTACGTTCATTACTTTGGGAGATATTCCATGCTCATTGAATTTGGAGACCGGCCGCGGGTCCGGCTGTATATTTGTCCGAGACGTATCCCCTTGGATATCATGGGATAATTTCTCTCGTCATTTGTTCAGTCGATGTCGAATTGATGTTCGCTTTAAATTGGATTATTTATAAATATCTTACAGCTAATTCTTCTGTATATATGTAAATAATAATTTAGCACTGAAACTTCATCTGTGGCCAACGGACAGAGGGTTTCTAACAAGACTAATTTTTAACTTGTCACTTTCGCTTCCCGCTGACGCACACCTTATTGTCAGCTGCAATTCATGGCAACTAAACATCTTTTTCATTGATATAACTTCTAAAATATCGATTGCCCTGCACACACTCATGATAGATTTTCTTGAATTTCAGACATTTCTGCACTTGACTGGAAGCACGCTATCAATTTAAATGTTTTGCTTCTTGAGTCAATTTTTGTACGTCAAAAAAACGGACTTTCATAAGAAGCATAATATAAAGAAGAAATGAATAAAATGAGATTATACTCACGCAGGTAAAAAATTAACGATATTGAATATTTGCTTTAACCACGTTGCAAACTTTGTTGACACCCGAGTTCGCGGCATTTTGCATTAGCAAGTATTGATAACGATTAATTCGTACACGCTGTCGTCATATATAGGTGCGGAATCGGGTCGTTCATAGTCTATCTCATTCTGTACTTACACCGATTATTAAAATACCAGGGACTTCTGGCATGTGGCTTATTTTTTTTAGAAGTCCTCTGGAATTTCAGAAGCTCGGGAACATGGTTTCTGAAACCCATGCCTTCCAACCCAACTCGCTGTCTATGACTCAACTCAAGCCTGTTTATAGACAGCGAGTAGTTACGCAGGCAGAGTTCCTATGACTCTCTCACTAATGCTACTTTGTTTGGAGTTGAAGGAGCTCTGGAGACTCGTCCATGGTGGCCTCTTGACAGGATAATGTTCAGAGTTCGCGCAACTGTGAGTAAAAAGCCAGAGATACGACACTATAAAGAGGAGGCATATTATTAAGAGACTGGCAGACTGCTGCTACTCGACGATACAAACAATGAGATTTAATGCAAGAAATTTATTTGAATATATTTATATTTCATCCCAAGTTTGTGATACCTATGCCATGTACTTCTGCCCTACATGAGATTGTGGACTCTACTGAAGGCCTAGCCTGGAGTTGCTTCAAACAAGTTGTTCTAGCAGAGACAGTGAGTTTATATTTAAAAAACTCCTAGTGCGAATGGCCCACGATGAAGCGATCTCCGTTGCAGTTCGCCAAAACCTTGTACTTTCTGCATCTTGGAGATGCTAACGTGGTTCCTTTCTTCCTGCTGCCACATGCGGTCTATTTGAGACCTATGACGTCTCATGGACGTTTTCTTAATTTTCATTAGAGAGATTAAGACCTTTTGCTACGTTTAAAACTATTACTTAAATTTGGAAGCAATATGCTTCAAAGCGAGTGTGCCAAAAACCCTTACATTTGTGAACACACTCGCCGTTACGAGATGAAAAAAGTTTTTTTTCAACGATTTATTCAAGAATAAATTTTACAAAGGAAATGAGAAGAGACACACTTGCCATTCGAGATGGAAGGAGTTCTTTATCAGGCTTATAAAAAGACTTATTCTAAATTCGAAGTACTCACCATATTGCTCTGCTACTGCCCTCTCGACACAGTTCCGAGTAATTAAAAACGATGTGTGGCTCAAGTTCCAATACTTTAGTGGTCAATACATCATCACCATCTGTCAAATATATCATTAAGGTGCAATCACCGAGTGAGTTGAATCAATCATACAGCATTAGACGTACGACGGGGAAAGGAAACTTAACAATGCAGATGATTACTAAACAGCAGATAAGTAATTGAACATTTACGAATAACCAATTATTCTTCAATTACCGTATGCCATTACATCAGTATCTGCATTCAGGTTCCGAGCCAAGTTTTGAAGAACATAAGATGCAAAAATATTAGCTGTATCGGAGCAATCAGAAAACAAAGAGAAATATGTTGATCCATCAAAAAAAATAATTACACCTAGTGATAGGAAATGTCATGAACACTAATCATCGCGATGTTAAAAATAAAACCTATTTTTAAATCCTGCACAAATTCTACGCTGGTAAAAATAAATAGCGATTAATCAGAACTTAAATAGACTATAATATTACCAAGCCAATCAGATCTAAGTTTGAAAATTCACGTTGAGGAAATGAACACAATCTTGGACTCGGATAATATAAGGTTTCTGAGTATTGACTGGCAATCTCAAATGTCAAATCACTAAAATGAATACAGGCAGGAATAAACTACAATAGCAACGTATCCAGTTTCTAGAAGGCAGTTAATTAAAAAAGAGCGACTTCGAGCGATTGCACTACCACCGTATCATGAGTTCAGTAAATGCTCCAGAAGGTTTGCTCAATGACGCGTCGAGAACAGAACCAAGTAACTGATATGCTGCATAATTCCTTCAGTCTTAGAACTGCAACGTTTTGTTAATCATATCTGCAGGAGTTTAATCATTATGGCAACGCAACATCATCTTGGCCCTCTCTCATTCCGATGCCAAGGAAAAATGATACGGGAGTCGTTCGTAACTATACCAATATATGAAGGAATGCACTACTGCTTACGACAGAGGCGATGGAAGACACATTGGCAGCACCTCATTTTCACTTGGGCTTTTGGAATAAATTAGTGAACACACAGTACACGTAGACGCCATGTAGTGAGGAATAATCTTCGTTACATGTCATCCAGGACACGGTAAAAACCTACACTTGTATCTAAACCGAGTCAATGAGCAATTATAGTAAATCCATATCAATTTTTGCGAACAACAACGTGACCCGTAAATGTTCAAGGCCCTAATGTAGTGAACGTAAAAAATTGTAGATTCCTCCACTAACTCCAACGAAACAAGATTCGACAGTTCCGAGAATCTTTAGCTCAATATACTAACACAGTAATTAAGCAGATTTAAAAGAACTCTCAGCAGTAATGGATGAAAATTACCCACCGTGAATAAATTGCTTACCCAAGAATACAAAAAATATTTCTATCTGACACTAATGCTATAAAGATACATCATGTGAAAAGCCAGTTGATAGAGTCGAATACTTATAAATAAACTTCACAGTTCATTAAGATCCTCTAATGGAACTCCTGAAAAAGCATGCGACAGCAACTCTTTTAAATCAAGTTCCTTTCCATCATTTTTTAACCTCATTAAAAAAAACTAAAGAACTCAGAAACCCTCGGTCTAACATTAACTCGTAATGAGTTTTGAGACATAGCACGACTGATATTACAGGCTCTTTTAGCGAGCAAGCACACCTCAAAGTTATGCCATAGTAAACCTATTCAATGCTAAACAGTACGAGATTTAATCGCTAAACCGACGAGCTTGCAAACATGGAGGGCGCAGAGCTTGGGTACGGGTTATTGCTGGCGTTCGTTTCGATCTCTTTCGCAAGCTTGGACATAATATCCTTGTAGATGAGGGGGTCGATGTTCTTAGACAATACGTACAGTATCCACCAGTCACCGATTCTTGTTTTCGACGTGAAGGCCTCCAGTGCTTCCATCGGCACGGCTCTACAATTAATGAGAGTGTTCAAGTACCTAGTGTGGCTGACTTCAAATTATTATAAAAAATCAAAGACCAGCTTATTCACAATTGATGCTTGAAACTACAGTAAAATGTACGTAGAGAAATCAGATTACACGAGGAACAAGTGAGAATTTCAGAAAACAAGAATAACTTAACTCAACCAAAAATATCCAATTGAAAGCACCAGACCGTGTTATTAGCCTCTAATGAATCTAAGTCGATGCTAAATAATATCATTATGAAAAAATTGTTATATAAAAGGCCAAGTGACTATGACACTAACCTGTTGTGCTGGTGCATGACTCGCGGTCTCAGTCCAGGCAATGCGAGCAACATGATACGGTAGACGATCAGGAGGCCGAACAAAGTGGCCAAGAAAATGAACCAGAACCACTGCAGGATGAAGATCTTCTCGTTGAGGATGTTGAGCGGCAGCAGGCAGAAGGCGTCGTGCCGTTCAATGCTGCCCGAGGATCCGTACTTGTGGAAGATGCACTTCGTCATTCGAGGGAATATGTAAATCATCGGGTCAACGCGCTCCGTTTGATCCATGTTGCTGTAGTTCACCACCTGTAAGCAAAAGCCGTTTTACCAACAGAATATGTACATGAAATAATGCGAATGCATAAATTAATACACTGAACCGCAAAATACATGGTCAGCAATTCAAATCAGAACCAAGATAATGAATGAAGTGCTCTGACTTTCCTGCCAACAGTGAACAAAAAAGTCAAGTTATAACGTCATAAATCTACAAAATTATAATACGATTTGATCCAGACCACGGGTAAAATTAACTCAACGAATCCGAGCTATTGAAACGAGGTGTCAGCAGCAGCTGAAAGGTAAGTTCCCCAAGGTGACTCACCATGAATAACGATAAAACGAGAGTGAAATTCCATGCATGCCTTTGGAGGTTCTCAAGTAGTGAACTTAATTTTGACTGCCAAGTTCTAGCACAAAGCGCAATTTTGTAGAATATATACCGAGCACAGATCGTTCATGCTGGGAGCTCCATTAAAATGCCTGCAAGTTCGCTAGACTGCACTCTAGTAAAAATGCTAAAGTGTGGCGACATATACACCTGCTTCATCAGACTTGAGCAGCAAAAGGACACCTGTATACGGCTGACGTACGTTACAGCTGTCGCACAGCGAGAGTTCTTACATTATCTCTCAAGTCTCCATTCATTGAGCGTGATGGAATGTAGCTCAGGATAATTCGACAGGGCAGAAACGAAGAAGATTAAAACGGATCAAAATATAAAAATAAGGCTTCCCGTAGGTACAAGGAGTCATCAGTATTTCAGTAAGTCAAGCTATTATTTGCTTCCAGCAGAGCTGAACTGATAACTTAATGCAAAATTATGGCTTCCATTCAATAAACTAGAAACCAAATTCCCTCAACTTCCCTCAAAGTAGATGACTTAATCGCGAATGATAGAATCGTGAAAGTTTGTAGATATTTGCACTCTGAAAAAAATGTGTAGACTAGTTACTTGCCAAACCTTAACGAAGGGGTTTCAAAAGTTCCTGTCAACACAACAGTTTGAAAAAAACGGTCTAAGTGAAATTTTTATCAATATCTCTTTATAATAAACAGCTGTAATATTTTTCTTCCTCTCTAAGAAATCAACTAACAAGATCCCCTCTGTATCCCAGAAGACAATGACCATAACCTTCCCTCCTGAACGCTCAGATTTTGCTATGACGGACCCGCTTATTCCTCCCCTGAACAGCCACTGCTTCGATAAAGTTTTGTCTGCTGATCTGGGCGCAACAGCCAAGGAACCCATCGAGCAAAGAGCTCAGTCTCAAACTGTCCTACATAATTATGCGTGCGGAACCCATGTTGATGCTGAGGCTGTCTGCTACTGATTCGGTGGTAATTCGCCCGTCTTTTTCAATAACATCACGAACAACATAAATGCTTTTCCTACAAACTGATGTGCGAGGCCTGTCTCTAAAGAGGTCATCTTTGGTCTCATTTCTTAGGCTTATGGAACGACTAATCCATCTGTAGGTTCCTGATTCATTTGAGGCGCTGTCACCATAAACTTATTACCATAAACTTAGAAAACTTAGCGAGTCAATGATTGGGCCGTTCTTCCACCCAAGCTTCACCATGAATTTGACGTTTGACCTGGGCTCGATTTCAGCACATGCCATGTTGCATGAACGGTTGTTGCTTTTAAAACAGCTCACCGCGTTTGTAACATCAATTTACGGTAATGGTTCATGTGAAAACACGTTATAAAGCATTGATACAGGATCGTTCTGATGCATTTGCATCATATCCTGTTCGTAGAATTTTCAGTTATGTCCATTTCCCACACATTTTTTGAAATCGGAAAACATGGAATGAACCTTGGAAAGTAAATTTTGAAAGGCTACTTGGAAAAAGCCTCCTCGTATTACAATCATTAGGCAATTCATCATTCGCAGTAACTTGAGTTATGAGACGTGAGTGAGAAGTGAGAGCTCACCTCTGTACCGTAGGTGAGGAACTGATGGCCCAGGAATGTGTCCACGAAGTACATTTGCAGAATAAGGTTGACGAAACAGAATAATTCACACCCCCAGTATTTGAAGACGTAGCCATTATGCATCTGAAGTGAAAAAGAAATCGGTTATAACCCATTCGTCTGGGATACATTTACAGTCTTCAATGCTATTTGCACCTAGTGGCTTGAGACAGAGAAGTCCCGTCAGTCGCGAAAGGGTTAAACCTACAGTTCACAACACTTAAAAATATGCGAACAAAAGGGACTAGTATAGTCTTCTATATAATTCTATAGTCTAGTATATATTTTATATTTATTTTTCTATTGGAAGGATCGCCGCTTACTAAGGCTGAAAATCAGAATGTGAACCAACTTGGCAGTTCAGTGCGAGAAAACAATTAATTTAACTCTCAAATCGCCGCCTTATTTCGAAGTTCGAAACCAGGCGGCAAGTTGCAATTCTGTTTGAAATTAAATTTTAGAAAGAAGGACGATTATAAGTACGTCTACAGGTACAACAATTTTTCTCTGCATAGCTTCCCAGTTGCCCGGGAGAAGTCGCAGAATCTTCTATGCATACAAAAAATATTTATCATCATAACTGAAAATGAAGTTTTTGCACACACAACAAAATAGACCGACGCGTACGATTGAGTTTCATATATGGATCATTTCTTATGGACCTCAATTTGGTACGTTACATTTTTCATCAGAAAAAAATACTACGCCTTCCTACATGGACGCGGTAAAACAGAACCACGCGTAAAGTTGAGTTACATAAATAGATAATTTCTTGTAGGTCTCACCTTTATATGTGTGATGATATACTCGACCACAACCTTCTTTCTGTCGCCGACATCCTCGTCCTTGTAGAGCGTCTTGTTGAGTCCGTTAGCGATGCTTCCCATGAGTCCCCCCTCGACGGTGTTCCATATTAGCTTCGGTAAGTAGAACAAGGCGGCCTGCAAAAAAAATAAGCAATATTAATACATTCATGCAAGGTTTTAAAAAATAAATTAGATTAATTTTAGTAGGTAAAATATAATATTGTAAAAGAAACTATTATAACAAGATAACTACTTTAGATACTCATGAACGCAGTCTTGAAAAACAAGAACAATGTAATTCCTTGAAAATATTTATAAGTATATTAAACGGCTGAGTGCCATGGCGAGATAAAGTGTCCAGCCAAACATCCCGAGGATTTGCAAGCAAAGTGAATTTTATTTAGCAGTTAATCTCAGGCACATATCTCCGCAATTACTGCACACGTCCATGCAACAATGAAATTGTTTCTCATATATAATCATCCTGCCTCTCTTTCCACTGCAGCTGACGACTCAACGTTCATTTTGTGTATTAAAATCTAATCGAGAGGGAACCTAGCCAAGCACAGGGCTAGATATTTATTATAGAAAAATTAATCAAAAGTTTACATCATCATTCGATTGAACTATAAATCTAAAGAAAGTACTAGAAAAAGAAAGCCCCAATTACCATGCCTCGTAATAAATGAATTACTAACTGCAGGAATACATCTGAATGCATTAACGTTCTATCCTTATTATATTAACGAAAAGACATATATATTGTTCATTGGTGCAGAAAACCGTTGATGGCAAATACCACAGTTTTGTATATCATATAAACATCTTGTACAACTATACCCTCATAAATAGTTTATAGGTGAAAAGGTGGCTGGCGAGGCACACACCGCAGAACCTCGCACTTCGCAGACACGCTATAGGCCTACGAGACAATCATTCTTATCGCAACGAAAGATTAGAGTGCGCCACGCTTCACAGCGATCACTGATACCAGAGTCCCAGATTACTTCATAACAACCATGATAATATATTCCCTATTAGTTATTGCTTAACCAGTTGAAGAAGGAGTAAAATTAATTAAATTCGGGTCACAAATCGAGGAATATTTTATCACCGAGTCAACGTGTGACCTAAAAGTTAATTTAATTCAAGAACGTGCGCTACATCAAACCAATCACATTAACCTATAAGTCAAACCATATTTTTCCACAATAAAATCAGAGGTTGGTCACGATACACTCTATTCAACAAAGATGACAGCATAACGCAATGTTGGCTAACGTAGAAGCCGGTTAATAGTTACTTAGCATCAAACTGCATTATTTCAACACGTTGACTACGATTGCTTCATCTTGTACTATTATTTCATTTTTTTTACTGTTTTTAAGCAGGGTTGCCAGACGGTCATTTTTTCCGGACAAATTCCGTTATTTAGATTTTCTCAATTGCGTCGGCCGGCTAAAATTTATGATAGGGGTACTTCCTAATTAAATTTTAAATACTGCAAAAAGAAAATAAATGGAATTTTTATAGCGGAATCTACAAATAAACTAGTATACATTGAATTATCGGCCTTTTTTGTTCTCGGATTTGGCCGATTTTAGGCAACCTGAATTATGTACCACTACCTTCTGGAGAAATACATTTCGTGGTACGCATATGTACCAATACGTAGTCAACGTGTTAAAGAAGTCAAGGAATCAAAGACGATGTGATTATGCTCATCATAATATCTCACACTGCCATGTCAAAATAATACGTCACGAACAAGGCACCCGGGAACGTCGGAATGTTGATGCCGCGCAGTTAATAGATCCAGGAACAGTCGAAACATTCTAACGAAGTCCAGTGTTGGCACTAACATGGGCTGGATGAACTATAAGACAGCTGCACCAGGCGCTGTTAGTCAGGTGATGCAGAATCCGAGGCACAAAAAACATACAAGTTGCTGGCGTAGAAAGAGCCCAATAGGAACATAATTCTGCTTTGAAAGCTCGTTTCAGTGAACAAACAGCCAAGTTTACGATGTTGAAAACTTCATGACTGCACTTTGCACACGTCAATTGATCAATCGCATTTCTATACTTCTTTGCATCTCATGACTCTGTTGCATTCTTTAAAATACGTAACATTTCACGAAAATAAGAATAGAATGAGAGTTACGAGACTCACTCCCTATAGCATCGCCCAGAAGTCATCGAGGAGTTTCCAGTTAGTAAGCATCAAAGGTCTTCAAACTTTAGACTGAAAACAAACCTTACTTGACAAGCATAATTGCGACTATCGACCAACCTTAAAAAGACTCATAGCTTAACCTTCAAACATATATATATATAGTCGCCCACGTTGCCCCGTCACCCTCTCATAGGAAATGCCGGTATCTTCGATCACCATCGCTAACCAATCTCTGCGCCACCTCTACCTTTGTACCAACCGTCATTTCCAACGAGCGTTACTTCTATATCATTTATGTTGATTCAATTTCAATTACATAGTATATATTATTATATAATTACTATTTACTTATTTCAATTTATGATGGTGAAAGTGATTCAAATGATAATGTCAGCAGATATTGGAAGCATATTATCCACCGAATAAAATATTTAAAAATATATCAATTCACATAACATGTACTTAGCTGTTTACCAATAAAATATCAATTAAATATCAAAAATACAGTTTCTTCCATTAGAAAATACCTTTTACAATATCGATGCAATGTTCAAAATCAAAGGGGTAAAATTAAATTATTACAGGCAAATAATTTTGAATTCGGATGTCACAAGTCGATTATTCAACGCATACTTTAGTTATAATTTCGTAAACGGAAGAATTAATTCTTGTAGCACTCATGATTCGGAATGCAAATAAAACACTATACTTACATTTTCAAGTTAGGATTGCAACAAAGAAATAATAGCGAAGATAGATCAGGGGTCGTACTATCGGAAATTATTACGAGATCGTAACTCGATCTCGTGACGAGATATAGGCAGTATACGGCAGTATATACATATATACGGCAGTATATATCTCGTGACGAGATATAGGCAGTATACGGCAGTATATATCTCGTGACGAGATATAGGCAGTATACGGCAGTATATATATACTGCAGTATATATCTCGTGACGAGATATAGGCAGTATAAGTATACGGCAGTATATATATACGGCAGTATATATCTCGTGACGAGATATAGGCAGTATACGGCAGTATATATATACGGCAGTATATATCTCGTGTAGAGATATATAGACGAGAGATAGGCCGCTAAGTGCACTAATAGGAACCTGCGTACATTTAAGAAAGTTTTGATAGTACATATTCAGGTTCTCAAAAAAACATTATTTCGTAACAAACGCAGTAGCCTCGAAATTTCTTTAAAAAGGCCACTATCATTAAAAACATTTATTATTGTGAAAATCTTTACGGAATTGCAGGGTAGGCCATAATTTAAAAACAGTTTCTCGTTATTGCTAACGAACGAACATGTGCGATTTATAGTTTATAGGATAGGTTCTATACACAAAAATTTACTAAAAATATCTGTGCAAGGATAAATATCAATTAGCAGCAACGATAAACAATAAAACATAAAATACGTCACGTTTTTTGTTTATAAAATGTTCAAAAATTACGATATCAAAATGTCAGGGGTTTCCCTTATTTTTTCAAAGCCCTGAAGATGCTCAGTGATGAGCAAAACGCGTCAGCGGATTTTAAAAATATATTTTTTGGAGAAATATTAAGATTTATTGATCCTATCATTGTAACCATTATTAGAAATTTAGAAAAACTCAGCTACAAGGGAATTTTCTATAAAAATGGCTTCCTTTTCAACAAAACCTGTCAAAATGAGGGGCTCTGTCCTAAATATATATCTTGATACATACTACCCGAGTCTGCGGGACTCGAGTGTTCAATGATCGAGATAGAATAATCATTCACCACGTTCAGGAACAAATGTCAAGCCAGGAGAAATAGCGACATGAGTTCGGGAAAAACAAATGGAACAAATTTCTATTCGTACAATGTCGAATGCCGCAATCATGTAGTTAGAACATTTCTCCGTTGCGTTAGAAATAAGACACAGTATAAACGAGTATAATTCCTATGTTGCATTATAACGTGTCGAAAGTATACAGTGTATATGATGTCCGTATAGCATAAGAACGTCTAGAAATAAAGCACTGACCTGGAAGCAGAGGAAGAACACCACCCACTGGTAGTAGTTATGGAACGTCCACTTGGCCTCGAGCTCTTCTTCAGTATATCCCTCGGGCGACAGAACGCCTGGCTGGGCTACCGACTTGCCCACCTCTCTGAGGAAGCATTTATACGAAAATGTTCGTCATTATAAATATCAGATTACTTCCATTAACATGTAGCTATCATTATAAACAGCAAATTACTTTCGTTAACATGTAGCTATCATTATAAACAGCAAATTACTTCCGTTAACATGTAGCTATCATTATAAACAGCAAATTACTTCCGTTAACATGTAGTTATCATTATAAACAGCAAATTACTTTCGTTAACATGTAGCTATCATTATAAACATCAAATTACATCCGTTAACATGTAGTTATCATTATAAACAGCAAATTACAAAAATTAATTTGGAGATATCGATTAAAACATCCAATTACTTTTATTAGTTTTGAGCGTCCATTAAAACAGCAAATTACAAGAATGTGGAGCTATAATTTTTGGAGTAATCCTTAAAGCAACAAATTATTTATTCAATTGCAAGCGATCATCGAAAAGATCAAATTACCTTCACTAATTGGAGCTTTGAAACTTCAACCGTAAATATTTGATAAATGAACAAGTTTTGTTCTTTAAAATTTAGTTTATTCAAGTTTAAGCCGTTACGTCAATATTGACGAAACGGGCGGTCGAGATTAAATTTAAACTAGAAGGGCAATTTCAACTGAATTGATCTGCGATACCTTTAATCTCGAGCGAATATCATTCTGTTTTTCGTCATGGTAGTCACCCCACTACAGAATCAACTAAACTTTGAAACGAACTTAACTTCAGTAAACTTCGAAAGAATTATGACGGTATGAATTTATCAGATGATCTGCATGAGAAACTACACTAAAGCTGAAATGGCTTGTAATGTCTGCGAACCACGATGAAAAAATTCAAATATTAAGCTATTTTTTGATGCTTTTTGAAATTCATAATAGACTTTAATTAACAATGCTAGATGGACAATTTTTAACAGGTGCTTTAGGCAATTCAGAAGATCTTCATAATAATTAAATTAATACTTTAGATTAAAAAAAATATTCACCAACGTGCAAAAAATTTCTTGCATGTCACTGAGCAAGGAACACTTTCACAAATTCGTTAGTAAATAAAAGCACATTAATATTATGAATGAATGAAATACCAAAATGAATATGAGAGTAGCCAAACTATGTAATAAAACAGTGCACAAGTTAATATGGTTATCTAAGCATGCACATGCACGTTAGTACTATCCTAACATGAAGCTTAGAAGGCATGCAAGACAAAAGCGTGCAACGTAGTAGAGCTGACACAGCAAAATATACGACTAGTAAGCGGCGAGCAGAAGCTTGAAAATCTTTAAACAATCTTCAACAATAGCTGAATTGCACGTGAATGATGACAAAGACAAGTTCATAGAGAAACTTTAAATCTGTGATAAACGGACATTCAAGATAAAATTTTGTACACACGGACGCGACATTTCAACAATATTGCTCTGCGATACCATTCATCCAGAACATTCGAGTTACATTTCGTTCTGTGATTGATGGTATGCTGATGTTGTACATCATGTCTAAAATGAAGATTCGTCCATTTCCGTCAACTGCTCTGGTGAGAAGCTGGATAAAGAAATTTCACGACGATATAAAGAAAAAATGAAATACTCCAAAATATTTCCGGTTGTAAGGCCTCCAGGAACGAAAATCGGCAGAGTGAAACGTTAAAGTAAGGAAAAGGATAAAAAGTTAAAGACATTTATTTATTAAAAACGAAACTGTGCCCTACATAAGCTCATATCCACTCCCTGAGCTGGTCGGCAATAATTAATAATACAAAGTTCAAGAAACAAAAGATAAAAGATAATTAACTACGATTCTTAAAAAGCATTAGCTCAATTAAGTGTGCTTAGAGGTAAACAATATGCTACGAAGAAGAGACTGGAATGAAAAATTACACGTTATTTTCAAGTTACACATATTTGAAAAGTTTGATATAATAAAGTTATATTACTAGGCTGAGGCTACGTGATCATACAGTAATACATCAGTGTACTGTGTCAAGTCAGAGGATTATCACAAAAAAGTCTCGTGACACTAAAATAGTCATGTTCTGCGTCATGTTCTGAAAAATGAAATATTCATAAGCAATCCGGCAAGTTTCGGAGACCACATCAAACAAAGGTGTAAACATTCTAACTGGTTATTTGGTCGCGCTTCATCCATAAGCCTACATGCGTAGTATTGAGTTTGTGTACGTAAGACGTATACTAAATTATTAATTTAAATAGAATTAATCAGTCCCAATTAGTGAAGTTCGTTTTCTAAAAAGTTAGCTCACTTTATTAAGTTAGGCATGACTAAGTCGGACAATGAGCATTAAATGCAGTTTCCATAATCAGACGTCAAAACCTGAGGTTCTAAAAAAATTAAAGAACCGAAAATAAAATGAAAACTAGAGATTTGTCCTTCCAGACTCAAGCACGCATCTACATCAAGTCAATAAAGGTAGTGTTCAAATACGCAATGTCGATTAAATGAAATTAAAGAGCAATACCGTACAAGATTATTACATAGAAGGAAAAAGGAAGTGCATTTGCTCCACACGTTGAACGCATTTCTACACGTGTTGCGTGTAAAACTAATCAAGTGAATGCATGGGTGGCGTGTGTAGTTAGGACGCGCAGTTTTAATTCAAATAATTAAGAAAATAAGTACGGAAAGTGATGAGGTTCGCAAGCGGAAACGTAAAATCGTTAGCTGAAATTTATTTCCGAACTAACGCCACTGAGTGGGACTCGAAAGCGATGCATTTGCTGCCTGACTGGGTTCAGGGGTAATTAATGTAGGTTGAGCTAACAATAAACAATCGTGAAAGATTTTGATAATTTATTTTTCACACACCTATACAGTTTTTCACACAAAATTTCAAGGTAAATTGAAGAGGGTATAACAAATAATTCCGATGGTAATGTCCTTCAATGAAATTATACTGAAGTCTTAATCCACCACAAAAAAAATTCATGCAGGATACTATTCACAGAACTTCGACAATTACTGTGACCTTGTACAACAAAGTTGGGGCACCAGGGTATGACAAACTTTAGTTTTAGCAACACATTCAGTGGCTCTCTTCCCAGTTATTCGGGGATTGAATAAGCCTATGGACGTTACACAAATAAAGGTTAACCACCGCAAACCGTAGGATAAAAGATTAACCACCGCAAACCTGAGGGCTTGCCTAGTCCTGCAGCAACATTGCATTTCGCTTATTGCGACAGAAACAGGGATAAAAAATAGGAGTGATGCTACGCATTAAAAGAAAAACTACGTCAGTCAAAGCTACAACCAAACTACGACAAGCTACTCACACGCACCATTAGTTCAAATCTCACCTGTACTGGTAATCCTGTATCGTAAATGTGGATTTAATCCAACAGTAAGTGGTCACCACATTGCCAGGCAAGTCTGACAAACAGGAAATAGTTTCACCGAAGAACTCGTTCGCTGTGAGGAACACTGAAGATCCAATAAGCATTGCGACGGTGAACTGATAATGTAGGCGGAATATGCTGCTCTCGCTCGGGTATTCATCCCGGGCAAGGAAGGCCTTCAAACCTCCTGCATATCTCAGAGCCATTGCTCCAATTTACCCTGAACTGCAATATCTTAAAAGTACCTATCGTAATCAAGTCACAAAAGACAAGGCGCATCAACTGGCTGAAATAAGAAGCAATGATGAGACATTCAAATGAATTTATCTACACTGCATAATTTAACTGTTGCCTAAAAGCCAAGCACAATTTTCAGCTAGTTAATTTTAGGTGGAAGGTTAGTTCAGCGCAGAATATTTCCAGACGTATCTGCATTAAATAAGAAGTAGCAAGCAGAAAATTCACTACATTATTTAATTTAGGCTTGTATAATAAAAACAAATCAATAGCATATATTTTGCACCTGGCCAAGAGGCCAAAAGCCAAGACATGATGGGGAGATGCATGGATTGTAAATGAAATGAACCTTGAAGCCATAATAAACCGCCCATGAAATAGATTCACAAATAACCATAGATCCAATATTTAAAAAAGAAAAACAACCTCATCCTGGTAGGCTGCTTGAAAAAGAGTATGAAATGTGGAAAAACTAAATAACCAATGTTCCAATATAATGAGTTTTCCTGTGAACAACATTAATTTGTACCAAATGTTCCTGATCAGAATGACCCAGTGATGAAATTCTTACAAGCTTTTGCTAACCAAACCTGTTTAAATATTTAAGTGATTGCAGCAACAAAACCACCTTTAAACCTTGATAAGAGTATGAGAAATTGTCTTCTGTATCCCATTATGAAAAAATATATTACTAATGGGTGAAGAAAAAAATGGAAATGATTTTTCAGTAATTAAATTTTGACCCCAAACATCATCATTAAATTTAAATGCCTGGGTATTTTTGAAGAGTGTATGTTCAAAGTTGTTGCAAACAACATGCAGGCAGCAATGTTATAAGCAATTAATAATGTCTTCTGAACATCAAGAGCTGGAAAATAGGCAAGTGCAACATATATATAGTTCACACTGTCACACATTTGAGCTTAGTAAGCATCCTTCCAAATTTTTAATAAATTGCAATTTTAGGCCAGTTTAAAATGCAACATAGGCTAAATCAAAATTTGAAACAGTTCAGCTCTTGGATTGCAAAAATATATCAAAGTATTTAATTTACTGTGTAAATGGGATACCAAAACTCTTTATTTCAACAGAGTGAGATGTCTGAGCAAAAAGCTTATGCCATGTACACTTGTACCATGTTGTACATAGTCTTTAGTGTTTAGTGATAATGCTAGCTGAAATATTTTAATCGAGGAAAGTGCTTGAACATACAAAAAATAAAAATGACTAAGCTTTTTATTAGTAATACACTTGGCCTTATATTTCAAGAAAAATAAACATTATATTGGCAAATCATCCATTTTTATTTTAGTTGTGGCACTTGACTTGACGGTGTTCACAGTTCTCAAAAAAAAAAAATAATTTGGCCAGGATTAAATTCTGAAGAAGTCAATAGCATCAATATGTTTGAAGTAGAAAGCCTCAAAGGGGTTAGCTATGCATATTTGATACCTCAAGTAAATATAGGACTAATCGGTGCTAAAACGGTACTCTAGTAACAACAGATAATGATATATAGGCTAATTGTGAGGAATCAACTTTGGTCTTTAGTCTCACTTATTTCTTACTCAGCAGTATGTAGCATGGCAAATTTAGGTATAAACTTTTTGTGCGTTTCTGGAAACTTACAAGCGCAAACGCCCTTTATAACTAGTAATCTTTTGTCCATTGAGCAGATACAAAAAAAAAAAAAAATGAAAAATGTACGCTACCTCTAAGGCTCTATTCGGCCAATTCGCGTAACTCCGCGCTTCTTCGTGGATCGATATCTGTTCTGGACTGTTTATTTAATTATTCAATCATATTCGGCGACATGAGTTTCTCCTCACCTGTACTGGTAATCATCCATTGTGAAGGTGGATTTGATCCAGCAGTAAGTGTTGATCACATTGGCTTCAAGATCAGTCATGCAGTTGATGGTTTCGCCAAAAAATTCGTTCGCGGTTAAGAATATAGAACCACCAATGCACAATGCAGTCGTGAATTGATAATGAAGGCGAAAAATGCTGCTTTCACTTGGGAATTCACCCCGAGCAAGCAGGTCTTTTAAAGACCCTACATATGCGAACGCCATAGCCGCCGGAGCTTAGAAGCTCTCAAGAGAATCACAGAGTTGAACGTCACACACCTACTCGCCCCACAGCTGTCAGCGCACTAAACGCACGCACTGGCAGGATTCCGGGAGGCATCCCCCAAATACACCCCCACCTTAGGATTAACCAGCAATGAGACACGCCGCATGAGAGGGATCTCTTTACACGACTCGTTGAAATCTTCATAATTTAACATATAACTGACGCGTGCAAGAGAATTTTACGAAAAATCTAATGGACTACAAGGTTCCGTTTCTCACTGAGGTGCTGTTTCTCTAGCTAACTTTACGAATAAGTTGAATAACTAGTATTAACTTGTGGTGTTCGTGCATAAAGCGACTTTTAGCAACAAGGAAATGCTAGCCTCGTACCGGCTCCCGCTGAAGCGGTCCTGCTGCTACAATGGAGCAGTCAGGAACCCCCAAAAGTTCTAGAACGGTCCTAGTAGTGGGTGGGTACTAAACGCCAACATGTTTCTACAAAGACATGACCAGACGTACACTCAGCCCATTAAAAATTATTATTTCGTTTAAAAATATCATTGATTTATTGGAAGCAATATCTATACCTGATTTTTTAGATAAATCAGTCATCAAGGGAATTTTTTATGCATTTAATAATCAATAATATGAATGTTTCTGAAGTCGCATGAACCAGCAGAAAATCGTGCCTAATGTAATTCCTGTGAGCATCAGATTATTGAGGCACGCCACTATAAACCAGAAGCTTGCACTGGCATGCCGTAAATCGTATAACTCCACCCGGCACAGACTCATCAATTAAAAGGATTCGCATGTAAGAATTACCTCTAATGTTTACTTTAATTAATCTTGGCCATAATTCCTTACTTCAATATAACTTTACTGAGGAAGCGTTTTGTACACAAATTTCCAAGACCTCGCAGGAGTCTGCACTCTGTAGGAGCGAAGCGAAGCGACTCCTTCCTAAAACGTACGAAGCGACTAATAACAATAGTTATCCATACACAGAATTGCTTAATGAATTGTCAACCAATTTAAGTTGCATCACTTGAATTCCTTAAATCTTCTAAATGATAATATAATTCAAGAAAGATTGTTATTCTGACCATCCACTCTGGATTATGTATTGGCTTGTTGTAATAAAAGACACTCTGAGCCAATATGTTCGGAGTTGTTGTCATCCAGAAGACGAATCGTGTAGGATGAATCACTCTCTGCAAAGAAATTGTAGTAGCAACGTCACTTTAAAGTAATTCGTCGCTTATCGGCCCTAACTACGGCATTTCGTTGTGTATAAGTGAAACCTACAAAACTTTCAGGAGCAACATTGCACATATTTACGAATATTGAGTGATTCACATTTGTAATTTTCTGAAGTTCGAACTGTACTGCATAATTTAGTAAAATGAAGGTCCATTAATCCTTGTAATTCGTTACATCGCGATGCACAATATTGGACCGCATGACGTATCATAGTATCAGGCACTGCCTATGTTGCCAACTTTTTTATGCCAACTTTGGCACCTACTTGCTATGTTCCACATTTTGACGAGGCTCTGCAAAAAATATAGATATATTTATATATTCGTGAAAAGGCGCTATCAATTCGTTCATTTCCTTACGAACACAAGTCCATGACACCTCTCACGTCCGTACGAACGGTACGATCTCCCTGACTAGACTGAAATGGTCACCAAATATTACAATACTGAAATCATTGAAAGTTGGAATGGAAGACTGGCAATGCATTACCCACAAAATTTGTTCTGACCGAAAGCAAATCAAATAAAATATTTCATATCGTCTGTTTGACGTCACTGTCGCGGTGGCAACCCACCAAGTGATATAAGGTTACCTTACATGCTATTAAACTGCGCATGCTTTCTCCAACTATTATTCCACGCACACACACAATTAGGCAAGTTTTATTACAATTGGGCGATATGTAACGTAGACAGAATTTTGCATTTCATGCACGTTTTCGATTAAAACGCTATAAATGACATTTTATTTACTGATCTTCGAACTATATCGCAGTAATGAAATCACTGACGTTACTATATTAAACAAGCACTTATAGTCCAATTTTCCGAGCCTATTTCAATTTTCTCATCCTATAGTAAGTAATTTAAATCCCCATGTAAAGTAAGAAGTTTGTTCCTGCCGATTCCAACCCCGGGCACTTCCCGTCTGACTTGAAAATTTAATTTGAGCGCAGCAAAAACATTGTGACTTCACTCGTTTGCCAAACATTGGGATAAAAATAGATGTTTTCATTTGAATTTAATTGGATTCTTTGAAATGGTAATAGATTATTGCAATTAAGGATGTATTTGACTTGAATGCTGTACAGTATATTCTGTACCAACAAAGTGAACAAAGTTCAATTTGAACATTTTCAGGGTTTTTAAAGGTTCTCAGAAAATTCTCTACACTAGGGAAGAAAATAAAAACATATATGATAGTAATATGAATAATAAATAATAATAATTGATCATTCTCTACACTAGCAGAGAAAAAAATAATAGTAATAATAATAATGACGAGTACTGTCTAATAGTAATTGATCATTAAATACTATTCACCATTTTATGATTTACCATTACTTTGCATGTCGAGACGTTCACAATTTATAAGCAAAGGATCGCAGGCAGATAAGAAAGATAAGATAGCATATACCTGAGTACAGCGTACCTAACATCGCTGCACATCAGTGGCCATTGTGCAGTGTTGGTGTTTATGTTGTTACTGGAAATAAGCAAATTATAATACATTTGATTGTTTTCCTACATATATAGCCTGAGTGAAGATAAATCTAAGTCAAGGTGTGTTCAACACTCATTAACTTACAATACAAAATAACAACATCTGGCAAAAACCGTGAGCCACGTAAAATCGTCACCAAAGTTGATGATATTTTGCAACATCTGATATTCAAATCGTGTTGTTTTATCTGATTCCTAAATTTTCATGCCTTTAAATCGTGATTCGTGCAGATGTGGAAGGCGTTCTCGGCTCTGAAGATCAAAGGGGAGTTTAAGCCGCGGGTGGATAACTTGGTGTTCCGGTTGCACTACCGCTACACCTTCATCCTCTTCATGGCAGGAGCTATACTGTCCACACTCTATGACTTCGTCGGTATGACTATAAATGTTAAAAAAATGTTAATAAGAATGGTTTTATAGGTCATTCCGTATCAGTGTCCCAAAACAATTTATCAGCATTTTTCTTCGTATAGGACTATTGGTCATTTGGCCGAACTCTGTAATTATGTTCAATTTTACATAAGTAGATGATCAAAGTTGAAAATGTATCCTGGCAAGAATTTAATTTAAAATGCTGGCGTTTATAACATGATGTTGTTTGGTAGCAAACTCTTTCAAAGTTGGATCATGAGTATTATTTTGCACTAAATCAAATTCCGAATGTACAGGCTTAAATCAATTCAAATCGTACATATCTAAAATAATGTAATGTGCATATATAGACAGCAATTTACGTTGCTAATATGTGAGCAAAAAGCAGTTTTCTTTTAAAAAAATGTATAACTCAACTGATCTCGCATTACTGTATACTTATTTGAGAATACAGTTTATAGATAGAAGCAACTAAAGAATAGCAAAAAGTTTATGCATGAAAATGTCTAAATATGTGCATAAATATATATAAATTTTAATCAAATGCACTCTCTGTCATTATAATCGCACTTGTATAAAGAAGAAGCATTATTAGCCCAATCATATTAAAGTGACTATAACCATCGCATTATAGTACTTATTAGTAGTATAGCTATATTTATTATTTAGAAGGCTTGATACCAAACTCAAGTTTGTGTGTGGCAGGCGAGAAAATTATCTGTATGATTGAAACCGGCGACGAAGCGCTACAAAAGGTGGTGCAGAGCTACTGCTACATCACCGGCACCTACACGGTCGACAAGCTACACTACGGAGAGGTCAGTTCTTTGCGGACATTGAAGGAAGTTCAGATATGAAAGAGCGCGTAAATTACATTGTTTCTTTCATGCTTTGGTCTAATAGTTATCATCGAACTCGTATTGCAGATATGCTTTCGTCGCCCAATGCATTAATTCCGGAACATTTATTTGTCAGTGTAACTCTTTTCTAATTGAATAATTCCTTCAGATGATAGAGCATCAGTGAACGAGCCCTAATATGTAACGTCCAAATGACTTTGTATTCTAAAACAAGAAAAACATGAACTCAAAGGTTATTTAAGGAGGGCGAAAACAGACAACTGTCATGATCAGCGTACAATTAAGAAAGCATGTTGTATTACAGTCGAACGCAATTAATAGGGAATTTGACAAATTTACTAAAAATTTCAACGCGCTAAGGCACTGAACTTGATCTATATATAAACTTGAATATTATGTAGGAAAGTGGTAAGATTAATAAGTCATTTAAAAACTAGTGATTCAACCGGATTTCCAGTGACGCAGCTGACGTACTAAGCGTACAATATAACATGTAAACCACAAAGCAGGAGAGTTCGGAGACCGATTTCCGGACAACTACATACTGTATAATCTACAATGTGATATCACAATAAATTTCTAAACAAATTCGGCACGTTCATCCTAACCTGAAGAAATTATCCTGCCTATCATAGTTTACTAGAAATATTCCTGCCTCTGAATTGCTTCAAAGACCACAGAAATTCACATAGACACGATCATGTTAGCAAGTTAATGATTACAACAAAAATACGATGAATACAACAGAAACACAATTTTGAATCCAACTATAATACAATGAATACAACTATAATACAATGATTATAACTATAATATAATGATTACAATAACAGGTCGGGGTGGACATGCCCCACCCAGGCGTGGGCCCCCACACCGCAGATGACGCCGTCACATACCACACCTACTACCAGTGGGTGCCCTTCGTGCTAGTCGCACAGGTAATTATTTTAGTCTTACAAAAATTAAAGAGCACAAATATATACATTACTGCGGAATTACTAGAATTTTTTTAATTTATAAGTCCGAAAATTTAAAAAAATTTTTCCTTCACTTATAAAATTTTCATAAATTTATGATAGAGCCCTCCATTGAGATAACCATGATTAAAATGAATGCTAAAATTAAGAAAAAGTTTGTAATAAAATTTCATTCTTTGTAATCACTTATTTCATTGGCCTGCTTATATTGCTAGTTCACCAAAAATTAGGAAAATAAATAAATAAATAAAACACAAGCAAATTCACTATATCTTTAATGAATGAATTCATTGAATCGCCGGCGAACTTGCTTGGGGATTTCTTCGATTTTAAATTCTTTTCATGTAAAGATATAAATGTAAACAATTTGTCTTATCAGGGAGCGATGTTCTATTTGCCCCACCTCATCTGGAAGCACTGGGAGGGCGGACTGTTCCGCAGCATCATCCAGAACTTGTCTGTTGTCGACTTCTTGTCAGCAGGCAAAACGGGCACCATCGGCAACTACTTCAACAGGGAAAATGAGTAAGAAATCCATATAAGAAATCTGTGACAAGTTTCATTTCGAATTAAAAGTTTAATTTTACGGTGAGTAAGAAGTAAGAAATCCAAAAAACAAATCTGTGACAAGTTTCATTTCGAATTAAGGTTTAATTTTCAAGTGTCGGCTTATTTATTTTGCGCACGCCGGCTGCTATAGGTGTAACAATGGATAAATTTTCATAATTTGTTAGAAAGAATAGAATGGTGACAAGAAATTCCTGCGTGTACTGCAAGAATTAACTAATTAATTTGTGCAGGTTTAAGTCTCTTGCAGTTTACATCACAGATTCGTTGCACACCCACAAGGGATGGTCGTCAAAATTCATCTTCTGTGAATTTCTCAACTTGATTGTGACGATCTCGACAATTTTCTTCACCAATTTCTTCCTGGGCGGGGAATTTTTGACCTACGGTGTCAAGGTCAGTTATTCTATGTAAGTTTATCTAATAAAAATGCTAATAATACATCAATTGAAATTGCCTACTATTTTCCTTCTAGCTAGAGAACTAATATCTGCTAAACCGAAAAATGATTTGGCATGTAGTCCGAATGAGGACACATTTTCTACATGCAGCACGCCACGTCCCTTGGCCGTGCCAAATTTGGCCAGACCTGACAAATTAACAGCCTGGCTGCATGGGTGACTCACACAATGGCAAAAAGGCATAACTATTTGGAAGAAGTGATATGTTAATTAAATCTGTTATTGTTATTGCGTACGTAGCATATAATAAAATATTTGATCACGCACGGCGGCTGCGTATGAAATAAAACATTAGTACTGGGGCCGTTCTACTAAAACTTGCTTAAGAGGCCCGTTCACGGACGCTCCAACTCTAAACTCGGCACACTGTGCGAGAGCATTGTAAATTTCAGCGGCAGGCAGCGTCTGGCAGCGTAGTGACGGGGCCGAAGGTGCGCGAGAAAAGTGAAGTATGAGCTGCACATTAATTGTGCATGGATTTTTTAGTTACGTCGAGACAAACATTTTAATTACTATGTATTTAAATTCTTTCTATTTTCCGAGTTAGCGCAAAATTTCTCATCTTCACTGCAGACAGCGGCTTATTTTTCACTAATAGATAAACCGTTCGCTGCCGACAGGAGAAATTCAGTGCACTGCGAACATTGTCCACCGGTCTATTCTGATCATTTACACTGTTCATGATTATTTACAACTACGATCATTTAGTTTCTTACTCAAATATTGGCTGGCTCGAAAATACGTTCGCACATTGAACAAAGCCATAAAACTAAAGTGTAAGTCGATAAAATTATTTAATTACATTCCTGACATCGATCTGTTCACTTATCTAATGATTTCCAAAAAAATAATCACATGGTTACTTTGGGAGGCAGCTGAGAGCTTTCTCTTCTCTTAGCTAGGCCGAACTGGCCTAGGCCGTTCCTTCCTCCCCAAAACAGAGGGGGAGGAAAGAACGGATAAATAAACGGAGAGTTGAGGAATTCGCCTGCTGCGCTAAACCCATGACGCTCTACCCAATTCCCTCCCTACCTCCCAATTGTTCTGGCATATCCTCCCCTACCTCAATCGTCTTCTGTGTTATTATCTCAGCCGGTTATCGTTGCCTCAACAACGCTGCCGAGGGATGTGGTACGGTATCGCCGTACCAAATTGTCACGGCATATACTGTGCGCTGTAAAAATACCGTCAAAAATTTAGCAATAAAGACATACAAAAAATTCTATCTACAAATTATATTTTACAGTTGCATTCGCAGACTTTCGACGTCCGCGCTACGCTACCAAAGCAGAACTTTGCGTGTATAGACTCGAGAGAACAGCAGAATTGTGTAACTGAGAACAACTGTGGAACGGATGACTGAGGTAGGTGAGGGTTGAGGAGTGATTTACTGCGGTGGGCGCATGGCAGTGTCTAGAGTGCAGTGTACGTGTCCCCTCGTCCCCCGTCCCCTCACCTACCTACTATAACTATTCATAACTGTATAGTTATTAGCTGCACTGTGTAGTTATTGGATGTACTGTATAGTTACATGCTCCTTTGTATTCCTATATAAATTTGTTGATGGACTGACAGACGGGTATCATTCATTAATAGATATTGTAACATAGCAATGTTAACTAATTTACAATTTGTAACATTGAAATATCAACGTTATTTGAATATGTACTCATGAATTCATGAACAACACCATCGTTAATATCGCTCCCAATATTTTTACTAGTTGCAAACGGATTATTTCGTTATGATTTTATTTATTTCATTAGTGCCATTCTACATACATCCATAAATAGCGTTTTTACATCAAATATCCTCCTTCCAGATAAATTATCTAGCGCTTTTTCAAATTGCTCTAGGATATCATTGAGAGAAGTGAAGTGATCTTTCGCAACATCAACGTCGCCCTGTTCCATCATTGCGTTGTTGATGATGTTTTCATCGAGGTTGGAATTTAATGTTTGATCAATATTTTCGAGGATTTTTTCGCTTGTTGCCGTATTTTGTAGACTTTTTAGGAGTTGTTGTTGTTTTCTGCAAACCAAACAAAAAGAAAAAATTCAGCATCGAACAATAACAATAGAATATGGAGCACGAAAGCGACCATTTACGTTTACGTTTTAATGCACATGAAAAGTATAATGAAATAAATGAATGATTATTCAGTGCCAATAAATTGCAGCAATCATCAGGTTATAAAAATATGTTTTCAACACGAGTAACGATTGTCATGAATCTTACCTCCATCTTTTTAATTGTAGTCCTTTATTTATACGTTTTGCTGAGAGAACCAGTCTCGGACTTTTATGTTGCTTGCTAGAGAACCGCATCTTCTCACCAGTGTCGCAACTGACAAACTAACAACAGAAGACTGTTATTCAAAAGTCACTGCCCTTTAAAATCACCCCCTCTCAACCACACGGGGAGGGGCTTGGAAGAAGAGGGTAAGGAAGAGGGACGGAACGCCACGTGATTATATATAATTGGCATGCCGTTGTAGCGGGGAACCACTAGCATGTACTGGTCGTAATCGAAATGTAAATACTGGAAAGTTTATATAATTTATCTTAATATCCACAGATTGAAAAAAATTAGCCAGGATAGCATTCCAAATTTCAGATTTTTATCTTATTTATGAGGGGAGTTATCTGTCGAATTCATAGTTAAGAATACCCATAGACGATTACCGCTGCTGAGCGCCTTGAACGGGCCTCTTAAACACACGTAGCGGCCTAGTTATATGTTGCAGCCTATATACACGATGCGGCCTAGGTACACTCAGCGACCTAAGTACACGTAGCGGGAGATTTATTGTCTATGATTGGTGGGTTGAGCTGACCGAGTCACGAAGTATTAACTATATTTAATAATCCGGCCTCCTCAATGCCAGGTGATCGCGATGACCAACATGGACCCTGAGAACAGGACAGATCCTATGTCGGAAATTTTTCCCACCATGGGCAAGTGTTCCTTCAGGATGTACGGTCCTTCTGGGACCATCGAGAAGCGGGACATCATGTGCCTCCTGCCTACCAATATTGCGAACGAGAAGGTGGGACTGGGCAGACTGCCATTAAAAGTTATTTAACTCTTCAATATTTAATTATTATTCAAGTAATTCAACTCTTCTTCTTTTTTGACGAGACAAATTAGTAACGAGCTTTGTTATTTACCCATTAAATCCTTTTTATTTGATTTGAAAACTTAATTCTTTATTATTAATTATTATTGTTGTGTGATTGGAAATGCAAATAATAAATATTATTTTACTATAATTATTCCAGCTGCATTTTCTACCTCAGAAATAACTGCAAGTTTTTGCTAATGTAACGAGTTATGATGATCTTTTCGGTAATTCTGCACCTCCAAAATTAACTTAAAAATATTAGATCGGGACTCTCCTGCTCTAAGATAATGACCAGGGGCCATACTTTCAAAACTCGCTAAGTGAACGTAAGTACTTACGCTCTATTTTCTTGTCTATGACTGGTGGATTTTGCTTGAAAGGTCGTCAATGATTGGCTGATGAACTTACGATCTCTTAACTTTTTTTGAAAGTATGGCCCTTGATCATGAATCATTTACGAATTATTTTCCTGTAAACTAAGTGCTGATAGACGCCCTTTCGCCGGGGCCAAACTGGGTCAGAATGACCCACACAAGATCAAGAAGTGCATCACTATTATTGGATAAAAATATTGGATAAAATGGGAATATTTTTATCCAATATCAAATATTTTTTTTAAAGTGAATTTCCAATATTTTTATCCAATATCCAATATTTTTATCCAATATCCAACATTTTTTTATCCAATATCCAATATATTTGATATTGGATAAAAAGTGCATCACTATTTGGACAAAGTCTCACTCATTTCTTTGAGTGCAGGTGTACGTGATGCTGTGGTTCTGGCTGGTGATCGTTGCTGTGATCAGCTCGCTGTGGTTGATCCTGAGATCTTTATCTTTCATCCGCCCCATCCGGGAAAAAGTTTTTACGGTGTGTGTAAAATTCATTATTTTGAGCTTTTATAAATAATGCCAAATTCATTAAAATCATAGTAACATTTTGATTAACAGCAAAATTAAACTTATGGTAATAATTTCAGCAGGTGAACGTCTAGAATATTCTTTTGTAGACCGACGACATCATTTTATGTCCGAAATTATCAATACTTTAGAACCAATGCTTTAGAGTGTCTTTCCCGAAATTTTAAATTACGGAACCTACCTTACCATAGCTTATGGGTTGCGATATTAACCCTAATTAATTCACATTAAATGCAAACTATAAATACCCAATTTCTCAGCTACGAGCCTTCAACTTCCCGCGCCACAACATGAAAAGTTTCGAGCCTCTTTTGGGTAACTTGGCTACCAGGCAGGACGTCGAAATCGTTCTCAATGACTCGGACTTCGGTGACTACATTCTGCTGAGCCAACTCGCGGACAACATGGACCTTGCTATGTTCAGTGAATTTGTACGCTATCTGGCGAAACATATCAGGGAAGAAAGACGAACCTCCTCTAACGACAGTGGAGTACACGATGATGACGATATTTCTAAACTTAAACGCAAGGAAGCAGAGATTCATGAGCATCCTTATTTAAGTGCAAAGGCCTGATCAATAATAAATACGACTGAAGCAAAAAGCAGACCGCCACAAAAAAAGTGTTGAGGGGTGTCATGTGCATGAATAAATTGCGAAGCCAGACTGTCAAGGAACAACCCTAACCCATATACGTAGCACGCAGAGCATCCAATGCTACCAAAGTAAGTAAATCAAAAATTCTTCAATATTAAATTTAAATAGAAAAACTGAAGTTATTAACGGAAAAAAATATCTAGTCACTTTCATGATAATTTTATTTAAGGAAATTATTACTCGAAATGAATGTGGAACTCTATTCAAGAAAATACATCTTAGTAAAACGTTCAGTATCTTTCTTGTCTCTCCGTTAATGATAGCAGCTATCAGCAGACCTCGAGGCCAGAGTATATATAATACTCCTCATAATGCCGTTACATTAATTAATTGGACCAATAATTTTAATTAGTGAAATCTCTCCCTTTACAGCAATATTCTAACTTGGTATAAGTATTCAAGTCCCTTCCCTGCATTCGCCCCAACAGAATATTTCATTTAAAAAAACTGTCATAAATCGATTTACGAATTAGTTTCTAGTACCAGCCTGTTTTTAAAATAAATGTACTCCAAATAATTCATTTTTTTTGTCAATCCAAAAATCCCTTGAAAGATAACCGTTATGCGCATGACGCAACTTCGTTTCCGAAGCGCATGCTTCGATTGTAAGCGATTACAACTGTCACGATAGCGTCTGTTGCTTCGGTTTATATGAACGCAGTTTGCTTGTCTACATCTCGACTGATAAGGTCAAGTAACTGATAAGCTCAATAGCGCCATACGTGACGGTATGTAGGAGAAGTAAATATTTCCATCTCATATCCTCGATAAAATATATAACAAATGTTATTAATAAAGCTAAACAAATGGTCAAGTGCTAGCGTGTCTCGCACTGCATGCCGTGGAGGGAAAATCTAATTCAAGAGAGAACAGGTGGCCGGAGTTCTAGGAACCCTGTCTTAAGAATGTCACGTTTAGGATCGTACCTCCTTCCGGACCAGGTGTAATCGGGGAGGCAGGGATGGTGCTAGAAATACTCTGTCTAAAAAGACATTTCCCCGAGAATTTTTTTTTGTTTCATAGATGTTACAACTTCCGTTTGGAATATTAATAAAAATATGCATCGCTTCCTTGCAATGTGAACGTCCTCAACACCCGTAAATTTAAAGTAGAAATTACCTTTAAACTAATGCGTACACCGTGCGAACTTTGGTTCCATCTTCAAGAGGCTTCCGTGTTGTGATACGTTAATTATAGAACTCTGGACTAATATTTGCTCGCCGTTAATAACGAGTTAGTAAGATTTTAGGTACTGATACTCACCAAAATTTCGCGAATCAAAATAATTCTTCACAAAAATTTATCACGCTTAAGTATAAAGAATAAAAGTGCTAATACGAAGGAGAGACTAACAACACGGGAGTGAAAGGTGATCAGAAACAGAAACCTAGACATTCGTTTAAAGGCCCGTTTACACTAGTGGCAACGACATGCGCTTTGAGTCGTTTGCTGCAGTGCCTCACCGCGCACAACCGTTCACACTACTTTTGTACTCGGTAGTTTGAGACCGCGCGGCGCGCGCTTTGAAGTTTGAACACTAGTTGCCACCTAGACGTCAATGAGGATGGATGTAACCGAATTTGAGCTGTGGGCCATTGTTCTCGTGTGTGCTGTCGTCCGTCATTCTTCGCACTATGCCAGTTGTAAACGAGAATCTAGCATAGGCATCATAATTAGAGAACTAGCACATTCAAAAAGATACAGTTTGTAAAAAAATAGTCTATTCTTAAATAAAAAGTTCTAATATTCGTACCGATATCATATCATCATTTGAAATCGCTTAACGGTAATGCATAAATTATCAGAATTATCAGGAGTTGCTAAAATCACATAAACTAAACACGTCATGTAGAAATAACTTACATCATTTGCATTTCGATTTTTGTACTCCTTTGAACGAACACTCCATATGCATTCATTTCCTCTATAAAGATCAATTAGGCTCTCTTACTAGAGTTACTTCAAACGAGAGTGGTGTTAGTCGACATTTGGTGTGCCGGACCAGTGTACTCAATCAACCTTACTACTACTAGACCACAGACTGCTATCTACTAACTAAGAATTTAAAAGCAAAGAATAGTCCACAAAATTCATATCTTTATACATAGAAAACGTTTCGGAGACCAGCTTCATCGTCAGTTCGTAGAATCTAGAATCACAAATCAGAAGTCCAAATGTCACAAATTAATACATTGAAACCATAGAACGAATTGAATTTCTTTAATTAATTAATTTAGATTTTTGATTTGATATAAATTTTTAATTTAATTTAAATTCTTAGTTAATTTGCGATTTAAGCATACAATTGATATCAATTCTTTAATAGCTATCTACTAAGCGCCGCGCGTGTGTTGCATGAGGCATGGCCCCTGTCAATCGCTAGCTCGTCAATCGGCCAAGAAGCGCATGCAGAGGCTGCAAAGCGCCTCTGCATGCGCTTTGAGGCACTTGATTCTCGTGTGTTGCCCCTAGTGTGAACGGGCCTTAAGAAACATCGGCCACCGGCAGGAGAGACAAGAAAGGGAAGTGCAAGTGATTCTTCCTACATACACAAGAACTCCACAACTGAGACCCTGAGTATGGAGTGGGGGTAGCCAGGGGCCGTACTTATACAACATGTTTCAAGTACACATAGTGGCTGATATTCCGTCTGTGATTGGTGGGTTTAGCTTGAAAAGCCGGCAGTGATTGGCTGACGGACTTACGAAATCTATTTTTAACGTATTTTCTCATTTATGGAAAAAAGGCGCTATTGTGCTTGCTATGTCTGTCCGTACTCTGTCCGTCTGTCTGTCCGTCCGTGACTCCACGTTTTCGTCGACGAGAAAATGCGCTCTCTGTCACTCACTGCAGTGAGTACCGAGTAATATTTTTGTAAGGCATGTCCATGGAACAATTCCATATATAGGGGAGCGAACATCGATAAGACGCGCGAGGACGCGAGTCTAAAAACTTTCAAAATGAATTAATTATTGTAGCATTCATTTAATGTATTTTTATTGTGCCCACAGAAATAACAGGTCCATTTTCAATTTTCATCCTCAAAATAGTAATACATTTTATAACAATATTCGTACATTTTCTGAATGACGCAAAGTATCTCGCTTAACTAAATTCACAATAAGAGTTACGCTCACTGGATTCCTTGAATGCTAACGAGTTTTAGAAAACGATTTATATTAGAAACTGAAGAAATAACTAACCCTTTATTCATCGATTCATTTTCCACTAGAGTTATACTACCTAGAAGTATAAAACAAATCTAATATAATATTCTAGAATATAACTTATCATATAATACTCTTGAATTCTTTTGATAAATATTCTAGAATTGAGGAATGCATAGTCTATCATTCCTCCCTTTGACCGTAAAACATATACATACACTCAAAGAAATGAGTGAGTTTAGTCCTGATAGCGATGCTCTTTTTGCAATTATGTGGATCATTCTGACATAGTTTTGCTCGGCAAAAAGCCTGTCGGGGCCACGTGCAGAAAGTGCATCGCTATTTCGACAATATGAACCATCCATTTTTCCGAGTGTACCGAAACAAAAATTTTAAACTTTCCTGGAGATTCATAAGAGATGGAATTGTGCTCAAAAATTTCCCTCAGAGGCAAGATAAGTCAAGAACGTTGGCCCAGAAATTAACGAGGCTCCAAAAAAAGTTACATTTGACTCAGACTCTCGTGTCTTCTTCCTCCATCCTGCGTTTGTGCTCGAGAGGATCTTCCTCGTCGATATTGAAGTGCCTGTAGCTGGGAGCATGTGGACTGAACATGGTCACAGGCTCGCCTCTTGATCCTGAAGACGAGTGTGCCGCGATCATCTTGACCAACTCTTGCATAATGTCCTTGAATGTCAAAGCATCAACATTCTTGCCCAGAGTCCTGAGAAGGAACCAGTCCCCGAGGTAGGTCCTGTGAACCAAGTCCTCAAGCTGAGCATCGCTCATCACCCGGCCGTATGTTTCCAGAAGTTTCAGACGCAAAAATGGACTGAGGAATATGGCTGCGATGTACACGATCTGCAAAGTAAATATTGGTTTTCACAGTGAAACGCATCTTGAATGAACAAAAGGCGTTCTCAATACATGTAAATTTATGGAGATCACTCTTACTGGTGACAGTTCTTGTACATCTTGATATTTTCTGTGTGTGGATATAAATCCATCTCCTTCCAACTGCTCCTGGTTAACTAATGGCTTCAGGAGCAAAAAGAGAAATATACGCACGCATAAATTTTAAATTTTAGGTATGTTTATGGTGCAATTAATAAGCAAGAAAGAAAATGACTCAATTGTCATTACCGAAATGAAATTCAACTAAATTTCAAATTACTTTTTTTATCCAATACTCTTTGACTATTCAACTGGGGTGATGATTGACTAGGATTTGCGTTCACCGTCGAACTTGCGGATAATACTGGATTACAAACTGACAATAGTTAGGCTTGAGATAACCTCGGTACATAACAAAGTTCCAGCTCATTTCTGGCCTCCCGTTCACTGGACTGGTGCGTGCCGTACATGTTTATTGATGTCGAAGTTCGGGCGCCGTGCGCATCAGACCGATCATGTTATGAAGGCAATAGCTGCATACGAAATGACACTTTCAACTTAAGTTTTAAATACGTCTTTGTCCATCAAGCCATTTCAGACTTGATTAGGTAATTCACTAGTAATACTAAATATGAATAAGAAAACATCAATATCACTATATGAATTCAAAATTTAAACTGAAAAGGGTTCTTGGCTAAAAAATGAATGGCATTGACATCAGAAAGAAGAACTTAGGATCAGCAGTAAGCGTTTTATGGAAGGAATATAGAAGGTAAAGCGCCAATCCCCGAAACATAGATTCTCGAAAAATAAGTACATGAAAGCTACCTATTTTTCTACCTAAAAATTGCCTATTCCTCTACCTAAAAATTACCCATTCCTCTACCTAAAAATTACCCATTCCTCTACCTAAAAATTACCCATTCCTCTACCTAAAAATTACCCATTCCTCTACCTAAAAATTACCCATTCCTTTACCTAAAAATGACCTACTCCTCTACCTAAAATTACCTATAGCTCTACCTAGAAATTACCTATTCCTCTACCTAAAAACTACCTATACCTACGGGCATGAAATCTACCTTTACGGCTATCTATATACCTCTCACGCACGGTACCCTAAATATACTTCGTTTTTGGTTGATAATTATTCTGAGTCGACGCAGTTATTATGCTATGCTAAACAGAAAAATTCACTTCGCCAAAGAAAATTTCGAAAGATGTTTAGAAGATTGTAGCTATTTGTACAAGTTTTCTCCAGATATATTCAATAGTTTTCGAGCCGTCGATCAAGATGACAGCACAGATAAGTTATGAATCATCTGAGCCACTAGCGGTCAATTCCGTTATCCACTTGAAAACAATTTATTATATATGAAGATAACGAAAATACTTCGGGGAACTAGATCAATGGATGCTAAAATTATAGGTATCAGAACTCGCTCTAATAAACGTATCGGAAAATTCCTAATCAGTGATTGGTAGGTTTAACTTTAAAAACGCTCAGTGATTGAATGGCAGAGTTAAAAATTCCAATATTTTTTATTTTTGAAGGTACAGTCACAGGGAATCAATTTGAATTATAAATAAATGATGTATCAGGTAAATGAATCAATGAATTCCAAGGAAATGATGCATCGTAGTGAGGAATTAATGAAAAGTTATTAAATGATGTATAGGGGAAATATATTACTGAATAATACAGAAATGAAACATACCTGCATGGCCGTGGCAGTGGTAAGGATGAGAAGCCAGAACCATATGAAGAGGAAGATCTTCTCGTTGATGATGTTCTGCGGCAGCAGACACATCAAGTCGTGGTTCTCCAGCGAGCCAGAGGGACCGTACATCCTGCTCAAAAATACAAATAAAAATATAAATAAAAAGTCTACGAAGCAGACTTTTTAGGGTCCACGATTTTTATCTATGTCAGGGTGTCGTCTGTGCTCAAAAATACAAGTTCTGGGCTCATACTTTCAAAAAAAGTTAAGAGATCGTAAGTTCATCAGCCAATCATTGACGGCCTTTCAAGCAAAATCCACCAATCATAGACGAGAAATTAGAGCGTAAGTACTTATGTTCACTTAGCGAATTTTGAAATTATGACCCCTGATATGGGAAAAACGTCGACATAAATAAATTTATGTATCATTGGAGAATTTCCCCAAAATTACATTGATGACAGACTGATATTACCTGCAGGTTATTTATAAACTAATGAAAACAATTCTAGCTGCACTTATGAAAACAATTTCTAGCTGGAAGAAAATAATTTCTTCTAGTTTGTGTATATATACACAAACTTATCGATCATGCACTGCATGTCATGCATTGATATAACTCTATGTTATTAATACATAGAATAAGAAATCATTTTCGTTCAAAATAAATTTGAAATTTCAAACTTATCGATCGTGCATTGCATTAAAGTAATATCATATAATCCCTTGTGTTAAAAAATTGCATATAATTCCTCGCGTAAATTATTTTCACAACATTCCTTCACCTGAAATGGCATTTGGCCACGCGAGGGAAAGCGAAGATAAGAGGGTTGTGTGCTACATCCGCGTGGCCGTTGAGATATCGCACAGTCTGTGAAGTTTACAGTAAAACCGTTTATAAAATAAAAGAACTGATTAACACTTGAGTTGACCCATAAATATGTATCCGCATTTAAAAACATTTGCTACCTGATTCATATGCCCAAATGAAATGGAATAGGTAACTCCAAAATTTCTTTGAATTCATAGAAAGTTATGACTGACAAAAGGCCGGGAGAAAATATTCTTACACGGATAACAAAAGAAACTAAAGAAATTTTTTGACCCAATATTTTATTAATAATTAATTAAGCTGCTACGACGTGAATACGAACAAATATTTGAAATAATACCTTAGATCCGTAGTCTAAGAAGACTCCCCCGAAGAAGCTCTCGAGGATGAACATGGCCGACACGACGACGACGAGGTTCAGGACGTGCGAAAAGAAGTAGCCGTATGCATACCTGTTGTTCAGGCGACCATGCGAAGCGAAAAGATACCTGAAAAATCAATATCGTGGTAAATTGAGCTAATATTGTATAATTCATGAACATTATAAATAAAGTTTACTTCTTGTGTGCATGGATCTAATATTTCTATAATATAATTACCATAAGGCGTAACTTACATATCCTCCATATATTGATTTTTACCAAATAATTTAATCTGAACTGACATCATACTTGTGTACGTCTTCATAATTTTACGGTATATTATTTTCACTTCGAGCGCCAAATAGAAGTCTAGCCAAGCATGAACTTGTACGTTACAATTTACAACCTAAGCTTGACACCTTGAATTCAGTTGTATGTTCTCAGACCGAAAAAAATATCAAAGTATCTGTTATTAAAACTAAGCATTCGGACTAAGCTGTTAAAAATTAAGCGTTTGAACTAGCAGTTAAAAACTTTAAGATTTTGAAATAGCAGTTAAAAACTATAAGCATTTGAATGGACTTACTTGACAATGTTCATCTTCTTGGCGGGTGCCGCGTCGTCCATCGAGATGACGCTTAAACCTTGTAGCAAACACTCGACTTTCTTGCCCTCAATTTCCTTCCAGATGAGGTGAGGCAGGTAGAACAAGGCACCCTGCAAGTCACAAATATATACTGTGATAATAACTCATAATAATGATTTAATGGCATAATATAAATAATAATAGCAAAAATACAATGACATAATGTAATATTATGATGATATAGTTGTGTCAGCTTTGTTTAGGCAATGGTGGCCTATATAGGTGATTATTATAGCCGAATCGAAATAAATAATCACACCCAGTTGTGGTTTTCGAATCAAAATTAAATTGCCTTCAATTATTAAAGCTAGCAAAAATAACCGACCAATCGTTCCTTATCGCCCAACAGCTCAGCATGGAACCATAACCAGGAAAAAATATTTAAATCTGGGTTTAACTTTGACCGATGTCAGCTTAAGGTTTCATCTGACTTAACAGAATCATCAGAAGTTATTGTAACCTAAACTAATTTATATCCGGATGTTCAGCAGATTACCTTAATTATTAAATATATATTTGATACACATCATACGTATACAATGGGTAAATAAATATATATTAATAAAAGTAATACATGTGCGTTCATAAAATGGACGAATGATATTCAGACGTACAGCAGGTAATTTTTATTAATAACACACTTGATAGTTTCGTCTGCATACATTGTATGGTAATAATATATATATGTATATATATATATAAAAGTAATATATGTATGTTCACAGTAGAAACGGAACACTCACGAGGGCGAAGAGCACGAAAGGCACCCACTGGTAGTAAGTATGTATTCTTTTCTCGTGTGTCTTTGAGTCGTATTTACCGGTGCCGCTGTAGTTGCTGCCGTACGACTCGTAGTGTCCACTTTCACCGTCAGCTGCATGGGTTGCCAAAAAATTATGTCCAGCTTTAAGCATTGATAGTTTAAGGTATACAATTATGGCGATTTGAAGTATGTTTATTTGAATACTGTAGTTTTTTTGTAGAATATGGAAACTTGATATTCATTAGAGTAACTCGATAACTGTGGCTTAAAGAATTGTTGCTTCTCGCTGGATGGAAAATTCGAAATAGATTGTTTCCTGTAATTTCTAAAAATTAACTTCCCAGTAATTATGCAGATTTATAGATATTTTTCAAGTAATATGTAGGTAAATAAAATATTAAAGGTAATAAACATATCAAATATCATTCTAAAAAGCCACATAATTACAACATTCGGGGCAATATTCATCGCTATCACCATCAAAGTAAGTAAAATATTGTCTCACCATTACTGGTATTGATAGTGAAGGTTGAGCTGACCCAGCAGAAAGTTGTGTAAGGTTTAGGAGCCTCGCCGCCGTTCATGAGGCACTGTATGGGCTCCCCGAACATGTCGGAGGCGGCGACCAGAGCGCAGGCCAGGAAGCACAGCGATGTAGTCCAGCGATAGTGAAGGCGGAACACAGCGTCGTCAACCAGCGTCTTGGAGTTGTGGATCTTGATGAGACCCGCGAGGGAGCCGATCAAGCCGATCATGGCGGTGGCTGGCGGGTGAAAAGAGATGTAATTATGAGAATGTAATTCTCATAATTATGAGAATGTAATGTTAAAAATGAAATGATAGTAAGTGTAGAATTATAAATTAGGAGAATGTAATTCATGATGATATGCTTGAAGATGAAGTGATCTGCATTACAGGCATTTTCGTTTTGATAGTAAATTACTAAAGCATAGGATGTAAGTGTAGAATCAACAACTACAGCGTCTTCGTGGCAGCGGGTGGATGGCGAAAAGAGGAATAATTTTGAGGATAATTAAGGATGGTATTCTTTATGAAATAAGGATAACCGACAACTACAAATATTGAAGAGGGTATCTAAGGTCGGCATTCTTAATGAAGAAATAATATCCAGTAAAAATCGTACTAGCGTTTTGGACTAACGCATCTGCGGCTGACAGATGGAATAAAATTTAGGACGGTATTCCTAAGAAAGCAAGGATACCAAACGGTGCTGAAATTAACGTTTTAATCCATCTGCGGTTGGCATATGAAAGGAGGGATAATTTTGAGGACGCAATGAAGGCTGGTATTCTTATGAAGCAATGCTACCCTTCCACGATAAAATTAATGATTACCGTGTGCCCACAATTGTTGGGTCTACTAGACATTAAAGTGTAGATATTCAGCCAATTATAGGGATAAAAACCCTAAAGACTCGGACGGGTAATTAAATATTAAAATAAGACACGGTAATTAAATACTTAATGAAAATTTTCAATCAATTACCGTTTCTGAAATAAATTTAGAGAATAATTATATAATTAGGTGCACGAAAGTTAAACCCGTTGAGCACAATTCTATCGCGAAACTATATCTGGAGAGTTGTTCAAGTTAAGTCACGCGAATAATTTTGTGGCTTATAACTATAAGCAAAGGCTTCTTGATACAATGAAAACTTGAGTACCCATTAGAATTTCGAAACTCAAATAATTAGGTTTAAGGAGCTTCTCGATTCCTTTCTATAACTGGTGTGGAGAAAATTTTCGAGAGAAATCGGATTCAGATGTTGTCTGATCTTACTTCAGGACGGTGGAGAAATCATTCATATATGAAAGATAATGAACTCAGAGGTGCATTAATAGGTCATTTAAATTATCTAGTCGAGCTACAAGACGAACATTGACCGATTACTAAATTTACTCAACTATGCTTGACTGTCAAACTCCTGATGGTAAATTCTTTGCACGGTATAACGGGTCATCAGTCAAACGCATTCCTCGATTCTAAATATCGACGTTAAATTAGGCATGTTTCATAGTTTTAACATTTTAATTCATTTTCTTCTCATACTGTTGGAGCTGTAACGAATATTTTTTAGATACACTAAGCTCGTCCTGTGTTCCATCGCATGTAAAACTTAGTTCATACATTTTCTAATCAATTTGGATCAGGTATAGATTGAGACTGTGTTCTTCTGGTAAAACTTGAAACTATTTTTTTACTAAATTCTAGTACACTTAATGCCAGTGTTGAGATTCGTTAATCGCATAGGAAAAGCTTCAACGTTAAATAATGCTACGTCAAGCTTTTTAAAATACCACAAAAAGAAACCAAGCAGCTTACCTTGAGGTGCGCGAGCTTTTTCGGAGGAACGATCAAGTCACGGAAGTAGTCCGCGCGTTCAACAATCAGAGGACCAAAGGAAGGTCGAGCAGCGTTCTTGCTCTGGTCCGTGAAGTGTCATACACTGAGTAAAGTTTTTGTGTCGCACCTAAAGATCAAGATGCACAGGAAAACCTTCGCTTAGTTTCGTCGGTAACTTATCGCTGCAAGGCCCGGTGTAAATATCCCAGCGGATGCACGGTGTCGTCAAAGCCTTTCCTTTGTCTACGTTCTTTCCGATGTACTGCAATTTCTGGGGCATGTGAAAGTATAAACTTTATACGGATTCAGATGTTGTCTAAGGTATTCGATACTATAAAGTATCGAAATTTTCACTCAATAGACGCCTGGATTTGGTAATGTACATTATATATATTTCAATGTCTCTTTGTTCTTTATAGTTAGTTTACCACTGATAAATTGTAAAAACAACATTAATTTCAAAATTTTATGCATATGTTGTGCTGAAGAGATTTTTTTCCAGCTTTTTCTGCTTTGTTGCACATCTTCCAGTTATATTCAAAATTTGTTAATATTTGTTAAATTTGCTAATTAAATTTTTTTTTAAATTTTGGTCAGCCAACTCTTTCATATTAGGATGGCCGATTAATTAATTGCAATAATGTTTCAATTACAATTCAAAATACTATTTATCGCTAGAGACATACACTTAGTAGGCAGGAGCCTTCTTAGGGGTTTAGACGAAGTTGAAAATCATCAAATATACTCTCGCACTACTTAAGATATATCGCATAAAACCTATCATTTGACGCCTAAAATCACGTTCTTATTTAGCCTTTTACGGTCTTGTTTAGCCTACTACCGTATTGTTTGTTCACTTTTGATTTTGCTTACGCTCTTATGGTATTGTTTAGCCTGCTATGGTTTTATTTAGCTGGTCTCAATTATTTAGCCTCTTGTAATCTTGTTTAGTCTCGTATGGTCTTGTTTAGCCTCTCATATGGTCTTCTTTATTCTCCTGTGGTTTTGTTCAGCCTCGTATGGTCTTAATTTTTAATCTTTTCCGCAGTGTCAGTCGAAGTACGAAATTTACGTGTACGTCATTCAGGTTGTTTACACTCGCTGTATAGTTCGACGTATCCGGGAAAACCACTGAACTCTCTAGCGTCGATCGCAAATTTTGTTAATAAATAAACTATTCCACAGTTCAAAATTAATATCGTGGAAATATGTTCAAAACGAATGATATAAATTTTTGCAGAATTTCCTATCTTGACGCAGATGTAATTTAATTGACTGTGGAGAAATATTTAAAATCTAGAATTTTTCAGCTATTTGAAACATCTGAATACATTTTACTTAGAAAATGCGCTGATTAAGTTCAATACTATAGTGGGCATACGGTCGAAGTTTAACGTCAATTTAGCTTCTTGAAATGGTTGTCATTTTCAAGTGGTTTCAAAATACCCATGGAAACGATACGTTGCGACAGCGATTTATCCATGGGATTAGTTCATTTTGGTGCACAATTGCGTATAGATTGTTTTATTTACAATGGAGAATGTGTTTGATCGTTAACGAAACGATCGCTTTAACACGATTGACCTAATTATTTTCGAGCGGTTCTATATTATGCGGGCAATTAAAATGGACACAAAGTAGAAAGGTTACGTTTAAGAAATGGTGAATTTTCTGGCTATTTTTCTTTGCTTTTAAATTTTTGAAAGGTTACGTAAATTACGTATCTAATTAAATTCTTTATTTAAAAACCACGGTTTTTATAAGCAATGAATATCAAAACATTACAAATATTTGTTTGAATTTTACTTGAGGCAGCCGTTTATTGCACTTGAACTAGGAATAGAAGCTTATACAGAAATCAAGATACATATAAAATAACTCACTTAGATTAAGAATACAATAAGTCTCACTCATTTCTTTGGGTAACAATAAAATATTCTCGTAATGTTTACGTGTCAAATAATTTTGCTTAACTTGATTTGATGAATGTGGCATACGGCTAAAGATTATTCACAACATTTAAATTCTAATTACATAGAAAAAAATAAGCTCGTGTTATTATTATCAAGTTAATTAGATAGAGTATAGTTCTCTTATAATGACTAGATACATTTTGTCCGACTTGAGTAATCAAACTTTCGGATCGTAAATCCCTCCGAAAAACAGAGCATGAGACATCTGTGTTTCAACCAAACATGTTCCAAATTCGAAATCTGTGTTTCGAACTTTTTAAATTAGTTGACTATCATAGAAAAATGTTCCATATTCGAAATCTGTGTCTCTAAGTTTTGGAATTTAACTACCAAATATTAAACAACCTCTTCCTTTGAAGGAAAGTTCGTGCCAGGCTTCTCGTCTTCACCTACTGCCTGAAGAGGGACCATCTCTGGGAAGCCTGCTGATGGATTTCGCGCGCCTCTGGACTCAGCAGCTAAGTCTTCCAGCAGCTCAGTGAAGGCCATGATGTCTACGTTTTTACTGACTAGGTAGAGAATGAAGTAATCTCCGTACAGTAGATAAGAACCAAGCGTATTGAGTGTGGATTTGAACTTGAGATTCGATCGTCTCAGTAGAAGCCCTTTCCTCACAGCAGGCACGCAAAAGAGCAATGCTCTGTACAAAAATGAAATAAAGCTCAGAATTATTAACAGAACAAACCAGAACCAAAGAAACACGAATATTTTCTCATTAATGACATTGAGTGCTAAGATGCACATGAGATCGTGCGTTTCAACCGACCCTGATGGCCCGAACATATGGAAGGAACATTTAGTGACCCTAGGGAATACTTCTATCATAGGATCGGTCCTCTGTGACTGGTCCAGTTCCGTGAAGTTCAGTACGTCCATTCCATAGGTCAGAAAAGCTCCTCCTAAAAACTTGTCAAGCAGCAACATTTGCAGGGCAACATTGATCAAGTTCAGTCCTTCGCAAAACAAGAATTTGAAAGCATATAAATTATGCGAATTGAAGGATACGGTGAGATACTCGCGCAGCAGGTCAAGGTTTTCCTTCTTGTCCTTTGAGGGGATAATTGGTGCCGACAGCCCAGCCGTTATTGACTGGATCGTCTTGCCTTCCCAAGTCTTCCAGAGCAAATGCGGTACGTAGAACAACACACCCTGGATATAATAAATATTGCATTCAAATCTTAATATCATATCTTAACAAATTAAGTAGGAAGTGAAGTATCAATATCGAACACACCCTGGACGTAATAAATATTGCATTCAAATCTTAGTATCAGATCCTAACAAATTAAGTAAGAAGTGAACAAGCAATATCGATACACACTCTGGATATCATGAAACGTGGTGTCGTTTAACATAATTACAGGGTTTACTTAGTTTAGTAGGGAGTGAGCTTACAATATCTCTACTATCAAGTGCATGATAGAGATCAGTATGAACCATGAGTTTCAATAAGAATAATGAAACTGAACCTATACACACCCCGAGCAAACACCTCAACAAAATAACGTTACTGATTATCGAATTTAGGATTAGGCTTTCGTCAAGTTTGAAATGTATTTTAAATGTAGTAGAAAAATTCATGCGAAAATGTTTCCATGAATTAAAACATATATAAGACGAGCAAGAAAATTAATCGGAACGTCAGTATTTACAAGATTTGAAACGAATTTATGCATAGTTTGAATTGCTAGAAAGTAATAAATAGAGCATAACTATGATATTCCCATAAATACTCGTACTAGGAAAACGAGCTTGAAAATTAATCTCAACATTTCTAAATTGTAAAAAAATCGTTTCAAATTTCGAGTCTAGTCTGAACTGCAATAGATGAAACATTGCTTTTATATCCCCATGAATACACGTACTTGGAAAACGAGCATGAACGGCACCCATTGGTAGTAGGCGTGGCGGGTGATCTCCTCCGTAGGCGTCGCTAGGCCTACCCCAGGATACGGCGACGGGCCGTTTCCTGGTCGAATAATCAATAAATAAACAATTATTAGAGAAGGTTTTTGCGTTTTATAGTTGCTGTAAGTTATGTTCACTGTAAGTTTATTAATTTAAGTGATACTGATGGAAATAAATCTGGCATGAAAGATCGGAATCACGACCAGCTATTCAATTCGAAACACATTAAATATTATGTAATTTGCGGCCATGGTTGCATTAATAAATATAAGGAGAAATATTTATTAAACGGCGTTTTATTCAAACTTGTCCCGAAAACTTTTAGGAAAAAATCCAATAATTTTAATATTTAAACCAAAGTTTTTAATATCGATGAACATATTAAATTAAATAGCATAAACCGGCATCCAAAATTCCATGTTGTTCAAACATCAAAATAATGAATGGATGTTTTATTGGAACCAAATTCTATGGGGTATTCAGAAAGCTACTATTGTAAGTTCAAAAAAGAATACATCGCCTTTCAGTAGGACATGTTTTCCGGTTGGGATTACAAGGGATGCGAGTTGCGGTGCAAATGTTACCCGCAACTGGGCCAACAGTGCCCTCAGCATCCGGTTGAACAGCGGTCGGTTTAGTAAAAATCCCAATGACTGGAAAACTTGTGATAAACATTTCTGGTAAATACTCAAATCTCGCAAAATTTGTTTCATCGTGCAGATTTGCGAAATTCGCAAAATTTTCTAGCGGTTAATTTAGTGTACCTTTTCAAAGTTGAAGACTTTGGTTGGATTAAGATAATAGTGTTTATTTTGTATTCGCTTATGTTTTACAAACAAGAATTTTATGCTAAGAAGAGGGGGTTATGTTGACGTTATTTATTACTCACCATGCAGGTAGCGAGGTATGGTGAAGGTGGTGTGTATCCAACAGTAAGTGTTCACTACATCATCAGCCAAGTAGGGGCTGTCACCGTGAGCACATCTGTACAATAAAGGAGTGATACTGAAATTAAAATTCTAGTTTACTATGAGGTGTTCCCATTAATAAATAATGATACTTCATAAAATAAATTAGGCAGTAAGTAATAGGCAGTAAGAAGAGTTTTTCCTAGTAAACTTTTTGCAGGAGGATTTGCATATCCTCCGACATGGCGGTTTTCATGTGGCCGATGAATGGCCAGCGGTCGTTCGCATGAAAAAATTGGTCTCGGCACAGAGACTTTCATGACAGCGATATTAGCGGCTCGTCTGGGCCAGTGCATGGAAGAATAAATATACTGAATTCAAAGGTTGTCGGACAGTGTATACATCCAAGTCAGAGAACCTAAGAAATTCCAAAGAAATCGTAAATATCTTTATTGAATAAAAAATCATCTTGTTATCTATCTATTCGCAATCGTTGAAATTTGCTCAGATTTCGCTCAAAACGCAAAATTATCTGCGATTCTCGATAATCGATTCGTGTCCTTGGTCTTTGATAGCACTTTATACTTACTTAATATTATTAGTTTATATATATTTAATTATATACTCTATAAAAATCTAGAAAAAATTGAATGCAACGCAAAATTGGTTGAATGTATACATCAACACATTTAATGACAGTTGAAACCATGTTTGTATTTTAATATAAATAATTCGAGAATTTCGTTTCTATTACTAACTGTTGTGATGACATGCATGGTGTCGTACAGCAGTAAGAACTGAATATCACAGGGGGAAATTGAGTAAATTTTTACCACGGATAGTATATAGATAATTTGATGCACTGCACCGTTGTAAAATCACGTAATTGTTCGACCTATAATTGAGATCGTGAAAATAACTTATAATTCTATTGTTGCATCTTATGGTTATATGTACTTAGAATGGAATCCAACTGAAAAGTTTTGTCTTCCGTTGTGCACCACGCCGCTTAAGATATATTAATTTTTGTAGAACAATTATTTTTTAAAGCTTATGAGTATGAGCTTTATGAGTATACTACTACACGAGTATATATATACTATACTTACGAGTATTCATAGGTCTCAATAGAGGCACGTACTGTCGAACGTTAGAAGGATTGCTATCATTTTCTGGTATTTTGTTTCTGAAACAACCTTTAACATAAATCAAGACCCTTAATTGGGTCTTGATTTATGACCCTTATTCCGGTCATTTAATTATACATGATGACAAGCTTCTCCATTTACCATGATTTTGAAGAGCGTGCGTGTTATCCTGTTATCCCACATATACGCGTTTATTCACATATAGCGTTGCAATTGATATATAGTGACTCAAAACAAGGACACTGCGCGCTGCTGCTCAGCCTGGTCACGTTTACAGACCCAAAAAAGACGCTATAGACGTTGCATGAAATAAGGGTCTCGTATTTGCATCTTATATATATTAAATCAAGGTCCCGCATTTGCCTCTTTGATATGTTAAAAAAGGTCCCCGCATTTGCACCTTTTACATATTAAATAAAGGTCCCCGCATTTACTATACTGTGGGCTACGTACGCACGCATAAGCTGTCACGAGACCAACGGTTCTATACGTAACATAAGAAAAATAAAATGTAATTTTATACACAACAGTTACGACTAATTCTATAGCCAAACTATTGAGTTTAATTTACCACCACGAGTCTGAATTGTAATCAAGTTAACATGAGTAACTTAATTCCGACTTTAATGATAATTTCCTGTAGTTAAAGATATACTTGAATATAATTACTCATATTATCTTATTATATAGTTTACGTGCTGCGCATATAAGCCAGAAGTATAAAAATTTTTAGCAATGTATGTGATTGCTCTTTCAGCAATGCGCGTTTCAGTTCAAATGTTTTAACAAATTTAAACATTGTGTACAATCTTTTGAGTGTGCTTGTATACTTGATGCATATTGTACAGACATCGCCGTCTTCTTCATTTGCAACCAAACAAATTATAATAGCTGATTTAACCTTAAATTGAAAAGAACTGCTGCTGTAGAAACAACAATATATATATAATGGATGTGTTTCTTACAACTCCCGGCTTCCTTAATTTACGTATAACGTCACCATTCCCAGGGTACAACAATTGCAGCTCAATAATTATAGGCCGAATAAAAAGCTATGTCTTGGCTTTTGTATAGTGATATTCACACGCCACAGCAGTTAGGAAGCATTCCCATTCTGTGCTACCGAGGCAAAACGCAGAACTCCAGACAATGAAGCAAATTAAATGCAATCTTCCATTCATGTCGGTGGTTCCTGCATTGTCAGATCCATTACTTATAGTAGTGACATGTACAATACATGTCATGGTCAGAAGTTTTATTGCAAGAAATAATATTATGAAAAAGTGAGGTTTTTGAAACCACAGATTATGATTTGCTTTCGAACAAGCTGGCTTTCAATTGTTTAAGTTCAATTTATTCTGCATTCTGTATTTAAGGAAGTCTGCTGTAATAGATCGATTACAGTGAGAGAGACGTGAAACAATTTTTAATAAACTATAGACCAATAACTTATAAAATTGGGAGAACTTGGTGAGAGATTGGGCAAAAGAGTTGATGGTATTATTGCAAATAAAAGTTTGTAAACACTTGAAAGGTCTGGGAAAAAGAACAAGACGTTGAGATCACGATATCATGTATAATACAAGTATATTACCATGTACTACACAGCGTACTAGATGCGTCTATACTAAAACTGCTGCGAGCGAACCTGCTTCGGCATTCAATGCTGTTTAGAGAAATAGTTTAAGTTCTGTAATGTTTGGTAAAAGTGAGAGCGTAAGATGTGTGTGAATGTGTGCATGTGAACTAGCTTGTATTTGTAAGTGGGTGCATTGCGTTGCATATTTTATGCATGTATAAATAAAGTGTATATAATAATAACTCTGAAAGGAAATACATCTGTTTAAAAACTTTTTGCATTGAAGAAGAAAAGGGAAATTAAAAGTTTCTTTTGAAAATAAAGAACTATCGAATTGCGCTCATATGATAAACATTGATCGAATAATAATCGAACCCATAGGATGAGAATGAATGTTTCGCTGAAGCCGTATGGAAGTTGCTTGCGAAACGAACAATATATACTTCATAAAAGGAAGTGAACCACAAAGTTCAAGGCTACACGCGATCTGAAAGTCGTGTGTCTAGCTTCGTATGTCACCGCAGAACTGACGTTCACCAAACACGCAAGAGAAAATGTTTTTGCATAATTACGCTCAAAACATATGGACACGCTTTACTCGAAATGTTTACGCATAATTACGCTTAAAACATACGGACACGCTTTACTCGAAATGTTTACGCATAATTACGCTTAAAACATAAGGACATGCCTAACTCGAATCAGAGCTCTCGTTGCGCGCTTTTTATTTTTGTTATACATATAGTCGGTTACATTTGTAAAGGGTGGTCAATAGTTTTACTATTAATTAATGACCGCGAGGATATTCAATGAGAACTTCTGCGTGTGCTCGGGTTTGTAAATAGAAATAAATTAGATCTGAAATTAAATTTAATAAGTTTTGATTGCTGGACTCATGTTGCAAGAATTTCGCAAAGATTCATATGCAAATCATCACTTGCCGATAAAAACGTAAAAAAAAAATTGAGAAATGAAGTAGCCGCTTCAAAAATAATAATACAATGGAAAACAGGGAGCTTGTGATTTTGATTCAACTTTTAATTCTTCTTAGTTGTGAAGCACTCAGAGAAATGAGTGTGATGCACTTCATGCCCGTGTGTGGGTCATCCTGACCCAGTTTGGGCCGGTACATGGGCGTCTCAGTAATATATGCAGAAAGTGTGTCAATCTTGTGCAATATGACTCAATAATTTTCTTGAGTGGGGAGTATTACTCGAAGAACTTGCAGTGTAAAAATTATCGCTGTTTTACTATGCATGATGACCCTTTGACCTGACGCATACGCTGTCTGAACAACAACGCGCTTCGTAAAAGTTCACGGACATCGCCTCCAATTATATACGAATCCCGTGGTATCTATAACCCCCGAATTGTGGTGCATTTCAGCGTTTAGAAAGTAACGAAAATAATGTATTAATCGGTTAGATCATTCGTAAGGGATTCACCTAACTCGTCCTGTTGAATCTTCACTAAAAATTAGATTACTGATTTTTTAAGTAAAAAAAACTTAAATAAAAGAGTAAACTTGCAGCAAAAAGCGATATTAAATGATGATTCAACCTGCACACACTACATTAATAAATTACTTAACATCATTACCCATAAAATATCAGTTTGCATTTCAAAATCAGCTGTTTATATTCGAATGAGACTTCCAATTAACTTGTCTTCTCATTGGTGAGAATAAAAGTTTGTCCTGAAATTTTAAATATTTTTAATTTTTAGTAGAAATTTCTCGTCGGAGAAATAGAAGCTCTACCTCGGGAAGAAATAAGCTAGTTGGACTCGAAAGCTTAATTCGCTACATTACATATATAATATATAATTTGCTACAACTACATTTATTCTTGATATATTTGTTTCACTATAAGACGAACTGTTTACAACGCCTGTCAGAGAAGAGCTATAACTGCATGTAACTGCATGCATGGAATAACTGAATTGATGTCTCGTGACTTATTACGAGCAACATTTTTTAACTATTAGAATAGACCGTATGTCATCGGACAAAAATTTTACTTGAAAGAAAACAAGCTCAGCAATTTTTCATGAGTAAAATTATGTGTAATTTTAATTTTCGGGTTAAAATAAAAGCAAAAAATGATCTAGTAAATTAACTCTAATGCACTGAAAAACCACAGTGCAGTTGAAATAATGTTAATTAATATAATTAATTAACAGTCAGTGTAATTAATAATAATTCAGTCTAATGCACTGAAAAACCAATTCTTGCAGTTGAAAAACAACTGCAAGAATTCATTTAAAACGTATAAATCTGCATCCACTAAAAAAATCAAAATAAAAGGTCCACAATACACATCATGGATATAAAGTATTTATTATTACTAT